CCTCCCAGTCAGATGATGACTATAGCTACTATTGTCCATGACCTCCCAGTCAGATGATCTATAGCAACCACTGTCCATGGCCTCCTGCTCACATGACTAAAACTCTACTGCTGTCCATGACCTCCTCCTGTCACATGACTATATAGCTACCATTGTCCGAGACCTCCTGTCAACAGACTATAGCTACTTCATTGTCCATGACCTCCCAGTCACATGACTATAGCTACTATTGTCCATGACCTCCCAGTCACATGATTATAGCTACCATTGTCCGTGACCTCCCAGTCACATAACTATAGCAACCATTGTCCATGACCTCCCAGTCAGATGACTATAGCTACTATTGTCCATGACCTCCCTGTCACATGATTATAGCTACCATTGTCCGTGACCTCCCAGTCACATGACTACAGCTACCTTTGTCCGTAACCTCCCTGTCACATGACTTAAGCTACCATTGTCCATGACCTCCCAGTCACATGACTAAAGCTACCATTGTCAATGACCTCCTAGTCAGATGACTAAAGCTACCATTGTCCATGACCTCCCAGTCACATGACTAAAGCTACCATTGTCAATGACCTCCTAGTCAGATGACTAAAGCTACCATTGTCCATGACCTCCCAGTCACATGACTAAAGCTACCATTGTCTGTAACGTCCCTGTCACATGACTAAAGGTACCATTGTCCATGACCTCCCAGTCAGATGACTATAGCTACCATTGTCCATGACCTCCCAGTCAGATGACTATAGCTACCATTGTCCATGACCTCCCAGTCAGATGACGATAGCAACCACTGTCCATGGCCTCCTGCTCACATGACTAAACCTACCGTTGTCCATGACCTCCCTGTCACATGACTATAGCTACCATTGTCCGTGACCTCCCTGTCACATGGCTATAGCTACCATTGTCCATGACCTCCCTGTCAACAGACTGTAGCTACCATTGTCCATGACCTCCCAGTCAGATGACTATAGCTACTATTGTCCATGACCTCCCAGTCAGATGACTATAGCTACCATTGTCCATGACCTCCCAGTCAGATGACTATAGCTACCATTGTCCATGACCTCCCAGTCAGGTGACGATAGCAACCACTGTCCATGGCCTCCTGCTCACATGACTAAACCTACCGTTGTCCATGACCTCCCTGTTACATGACTATAGTTACCATTGTCCGTGACCTCCCTGTCACATGACTAAAGCTACCATTGTCCGTGACCTCCCTGTCACATGATTATAGCTACCATTGTCCATGACCTCCCAGTCACATGACTAAAGCTACCTTTGTCCGTAACCTCCCTGTCACATGACTAAAGCTACCATTGTCCATGACCTCCCTGTCACATGACTAAAGCTACCATTGTCCATGACCTCCCAGTCACATGACTAAAGCTACCATTGTCCATGACCTCCCTGTCACATGACTAAAGCTACCATTGTCCATGACCTCCCAGTCACATGACTAAAGCTACCATTGTCCATGACCTCCCTATCACATGACTAAAGCTACCATTGTCCATGACCTCCCAGTCAGATGACTATAGCTACTATTGTCCATGACCTCCCAGTCAGATGACTGTAGCTACCATTGTCCATGACCTCCCTGTCACATGATTATAGCTACCGTTGTCCGTGACCTCCCAGTCAGATGACTATAGCAACCATTGTCCATGACCTCCCAGTCAGATGACTATAGCTACTTTTGTCCATGACCTCCCAGTCAGATGACTGTAGCTACCATTGTCCATGACCACCCAGTCAGATGACCATAGCAACCACTGACCATGACTAAACCTACCGTTGTCCATGACCTCCCTGTCACATGACTATAGCTACCATTGTCCATGACCTCCCTGTCACATGACTATAGCTACCATTGTCCACGACCTCCCTGTCAACAGACTGTAGCTACCATTGTCCATGACCTCCCAGTCACATGACTATAGCTACTATTGTCCATGACCTCCCAGTCAGATGACTATAGCTACTATTGTCCATGACCTCCCAGTCAGATGACGATAGCAACCACTGTCCATGGCCTCCTGCTCACATGACTAAACCTACCGTTGTCCATGACCTCCCTGTCACATGACTATAGCTACCATTGTCCGAGACCTCCCTGTCAACAGACTATAGCTACCATTGTCCATGACCTCCCAGTCACATGACTATAGCTACTATTGTCCATGACCTCCCAGTCAGATGACTATAGCTACCATTGTCCATGACCTCCCAGTCAGATGACTATAGCAACCATTGTCCATGACCTCCCAGTCAGATGACTATAGCTACTATTGTCCATGACCTCCCAGTCAGATGACTATAGCTACCATTGTCCATGACCTCCCAGTCAGATGACGATAGCAACCACTGTCCATGGCCTCCTGCTCACATGACTAAACCTACCATTGTCCATGACCTCCCTGTCACATGACTATAGTTACCATTGTCCGTGACCTCCCTGTCACATGATTATAGCTACCATTGTCCGTGACCTCCCAGTCACATGACTAAAGCTACCTTTGTCCGTAACCTCCCTGTCACATGACTTAAGCTACCATTGTCCATGACCTCCCAGTCACATGACTAAAGCTACCATTGTCCATGATCTCCCTGTCACATGACTAAAGCTACCATTGTCCATGACCTCCCAGTCACATGACTAAAGCTACCATTGTCCATGACCTCCCTATCACATGACTAAAGCTACCATTGTCCATGACCTCCCAGTCAGATGACTATAGCTACTATTGTCCATGACCTCCCAGTCAGATGACTGTAGCTACCATTGTCCATGACCTCCCTGTCACATGATTATAGCTACCATTGTCCGTGACCTCCCAGTCAGATGACTATAGCAACCATTGTCCATGACCTCCCAGTCAGATGACTATAGCTACTATTGTCCATGACCTCCCAGTCAGATGACTATAGCTACCATTGTCCATGACCACCCAGTCAAATGACCATAGCAACCACTGTCCATGACTAAACCTACCGTTGTCCGTGACCTCCCTGTCACATGACTATAGCTACCATTGTCCGTGACCTCCCTGTCACATGACTATAGCTACCATTATCCGTGACCTCCCTGTCAACAGACTGTAGCTACCATTGTCCATGACCTCCCAGTCACATGACTATAGCTACTATTGTCCATGACCTCCCAGTCAGATGACTATAGCTACTATTGTCCATGACCTCCCAGTCAGATGACGATAGCAACCACTGTCCATGGCCTCCTGCTCACATGACTAAACCTACCGTTGTCCATGACCTCCCTGTCACATGACTATAGCTACCATTGTCCGAGACCTCCCTGTCAACAGACTATAGCTACCATTGTCCATGACCTCCCAGTCACATGACTATAGCTACTATTGTCCATGACCTCCCAGTCACATGATTATAGCTACCATTGTCCGTGACCTCCCAGTCACATAACTATAGCAACCATTGTCCATGACCTCCCAGTCAGATGACTATAGCTACTATTGTCCATGACCTCTCAGTCAGATGACTATAGCTACCATTGTCCATGACCTCTCAGTCAGATGACGAAAGCAACCACTGTCCATGGCCTCCTGCTCACATGACTAAACCTACCGTTGTCCATGACCTCCCTGTCACTTGACTATAGCTACCATTGTCCGTGACCTCCCTGTCACATGACTGTAGCTACCATTGTCCGTGACCTCCCTGTCACATGATTATAGCTACCATTGTCCATGACCTCCCAGTCACATGACTATAGCTACCATTGTCCATGACCTCCTTGTCACATGACTAAAGCTACCATTGTCCATGACCTCCCTGTCACATGACTAAAGCTACCATTGCCCATGACCTCCCAGTCACATGACTAAAGCTACCATTGTCCATGACCTCCCTATCACATGACTAAAGCTACCATTGTCCATGACCTCCCTGTCACATGACTATAGCTACTATTGTCCATGACCTCCCAGTCAGATGACTATAGGAACCACTGTCCATGGCCTCCTGCTCACATGACTAAACCTACCGTTGTCGATGACCTCCCTGTCACATGATTATAGCTACCATTGTCCATGACCTCCCAGTCACATGACTATAGCTACCATTGTCCATGACCTCCTGGTCACATGACTAATCTAGCCTTGTCCATGACCTCCCTGTCACATGACTAATCTACCATTGTCCATGACCTCCCAGTCACATGACTAGCTACCATTGTCCATGACCTCCCTGTCACATGACTATAGCTACCATTGTCCATGGCCTGCCTTTCATATGACTGTAGCTACCATTGTCCATGACCTCCCAGTCACATGACTATAGCTACCATTGTCCATGACCTCCCAGTCACATGACCGTAGCTACCATTGTCCATGGCCTGCCTGTCACATTACTGTAGCTACCATTGTCCATGACTTCTTGTCTCATGATTATAGCTACCATTGTCCAAGACCTCCCATTCAGATGACTATAGCTACCATTGTCCATGACCTCCCTGTCACATGATTATAGCTACCATTGTCCATGACCTCCCTGTCACATGATTATAGCTACCATTGTCCATGACCTCCCTGTCACATAATTATAGCTACCATTCTCCGTGACCTCCCAGTCACATGACTACAGCTACCATTGTCCATGACCTCCCTCTCACATGACTATAGCTACCATTGTCCATGACCTCCCAGTCACATGACTTTAGCTACCATTGTCCATGACCTCCCTGTCACATTACTATAGCTACCATTGTCCATGACCTCCCTGTCACATGACTAAAGCTACCATTGTCCATGACCTCCCTATCACATGACTATAGCTACCATTGTCCATGGCTTCCTGGTCAGATGACTACAGCTACCATTGTCCATGGCTTCCTGGTCACATGACTATAGCAACCATTGTCCATGACCTCACTGTCACACGACTAAAGTTACCATTGTCCATGACCTCCTGGTCAGCTGACTGTATCTACATCCCTGGCTTGTCTGTTACAGATATGGGTTTGTCAATCTGAGACACATCTCTTCCCTGATCAGCGGTGTGGGTATCTTCTGTCTGGGTTCAGGCCTGTCCTGTTACCATGGTATCCAGGGTTTCCTCCATCCAGAACAACTTGGCTCTATGTACTGGGTAGGTACACTGACTGTCTTGTAACAGTTGGCCTGATTTCAGGTTGAAGTACTGGAGAGATCATGAGAATCTGCACATTCCTGGAGTAGAGTGTGCAAGTCCCAGAGTGATATCCCTGAATTAAACCATCATTATTTATTGATAACTGTGTCCATTTGCCACTTAAACAGCTTGAAACTTGCAGTAACCATGGTTACCTGATTATGTTTCAGGCTGTTGGGACTCTAGCAGCTGCCTTCGTCTCAGAAGGAGGTGAGCTGACGTTAACTTTGTCAGACAGAAAAAAAACAGAAGTTGACCCTATTTGCCTATCAAAGGTCATTATAGCAGTTCGAGTAGTGATGGTTGTGTTAGTACTTACATCAAGGAGGAACATCTCTAAGCTGTGATTGGACAGATTGTTTTTCATCACACTTGTATTGTTATGATATCAACCACGAGACAAGCTTACATTTCCTCTAAGCACTGCGTAATAAATTGGGATAAAACACTATTCACTCACTCACTTGACTGAGTAAATATAGGAATCGGTAAATGTCTATCATGATGGTAATGCATTTCTTTAGATTAAATTAAATATGTGATTGTGTCTCATCTTTTGATGATGGACAGAATGACTGTTGACGTCAGTTATTATGAGTATGTACAAGGTTCTATCTGGGATACGTTCAGTATGGTAACTGTATGATAGAATGTGTAAGTTGAGAGTTGCTACTGTTTCAGCAACACTGCTTGTGTAAGTTGAGAGTTGCTACTGTTTCAGCCACACTGCTTGTGGCTGTGAACCAGGTGAGGAAGAAGAGTCCAGCTAAGAACATGAGATTCTGGCAGTATGGTAAGTGGGAGTAGCTGTTTTCTGAAAGACAAAAGTAAAATACCTGCATGTATGGAGTTCATTGCATCATAGCCAATTGATAATGACCTGTTAAAAACTTGGCAGCCCACCTGTCACAAATTATAAAAAAATGACAATTTGGGGTCAGGTCTGTGGTAATAAGTGTGGATTATATCCTACTAGGCAGGTGAATTCTGAGTCTGATGGATGTGAGACCTCTCTGTGTTTCAGTGCAGGGTGGGTTTGATCCGAATGTAAACGTTGTGCTACTGGAGGATCTGGCTGCTGTGGTCGGGTCGGCATAGCGGCGCATGTATGGGCATCACACACTACACCGGTAACCCCTTCGCTGACTCCCTCGGCTCCATGTTGATAGGCGGCCTTCTTGGGGTGGTTGCTACATTTATTATCACCACAAACACAGAAGCACTGGTTGGCAGGTACTTTAAACTTTATATCCTTGGAGATTTAATTGTTTTAGCTTATTGAGGTTGATAAGTCATCATTTATTTGAAAATAAGATTGATTCAATTTGCGTCATGTTGTGTGTTTCTGCTTGCAGGTCCATCCCACATACACTGAAACAACAGATTAGCCAGGACCTGGAGAGTGACCGTATGATTAGGTAGGTGTTATCCCAGATCTGAGTATTATTACATGATTGGATTGGTGTTATCACATGATCTGCTGGATGCTATCACATGATTGAAAGGTGTTATCTCCTTATCTGCTGTGTGTTATCACATGATTGACAGGTGTTATATCCTTATCGGCTGCGTGTTATCACATGATTGACAGGTGTTATCTCATGATTGACAGGTGTTATCTCCTTATCTGCTGCATGTTATCACATGATTGACAGGTGTTATCTCCTTATCTGCTGCATGTTATCACATGATTGAAAGGTGTTATCTCCTTATCTGCTGCATGTTATCACATGATTGAAAGGTGATGTGTTATCACATGATTGACATGATCTCATGATCGGCTGAATGCTATCACATGATTGAAAGGTGTTATCTCCTTATCTGCTGCGTGCTATCACATGATTGGATGTGTGTTATCACATGATCTGCTGGGTGTTATCATTTGATTGGATGGGTGTTATCACATGATTGGATTGGTGTTATCACATGGTTGGATTGGTGTTGTCTCATGATCTGCTGGATGTTATCACATGATCTGCTGGGTGTTATCCATTGATTGGATGGGTATCATCACATGCTCAGTAGGATAGGTTGGGATGTTATCACATGGTCAAGTTGGCATGATCAGATTTTCTGGTTGATGTTATCACTGGCTGAAGTGGGCTTTATCACATGATCAGTTTGGTCAAGACTGGTTGAACATAGACAAGTGGATGTTATACCATGATTAGTGGATATTAGCCCGTTAGATTTTTTGTTTGTAGTTACTGAGTGCATGTTCAGGTATTTACATCAGATGCACATAACGCTTGATGTGAGACTTGCTTCTTGACCTTCTGTAGGTCACTTCATGATGTGAAGGCCACTGATATGGCCGGCATGGTGAGGTTCAAGGCCGAGGTGGACTTCGACGGAAGGGAGATAACTCGTGCATACCTTTACAAGCTGGACTTGGAACAGCTACTTGCAGTGAGTTTTCTATTGCTTCTTAATGGTAAAATGACCTTCCTTCAGAATTCGAAAAACTTTTGATTACAAGCACAAGTTAGAGAAAATAGTCCATAGTACTGTTATTATGGTCATTAAGATGTAAGTTGTATGTAAGCAATAAATGGCTAGAAAATTGCTGGTGTGTCATAATTATAGGATATTATATAGCGCATATATCCAGGCAACTAGTGCATGCTCAAGGCGCTAAGCAATATTCAGTCATTCATCCTACATAAGCTGTACACAAATGGCAGAGTTGTATTCAACAGCTGCCAGGGTTAGCATCATGGCTTCCGGTCAGAGACTGTGCCCATTGTGATGCTTCGCAGTCAGCACCTGGACTTGACGGTTTCAGGCTGGTGACCTGGATGACCTGCATCATTTTGGACTTTCCCCTTGTGATACAACTTGAACTGCTGTAGTGTTAAATGTTTATAAGACATGTATTGTACTGTGTGTTTGGTGGCTGCAGGAGATGCGTGAGCTGCAGAAGGTGGAGGACGTAGAGGGCTTCATGTTGAACCACGGAGAGAAGATCATCGACCTCCTGGGGGAGGAGGTCGACAGGATTGAAAAGAAACTCAAGGTAAATATTGCTGATGAAACATTATTGGGTAAAGATGGACCCTCTGTATCCTACATCTAGGTTGATGTGAGCTGATGAAAGATATAAATTAGGCCAGTTGCAGACTTTACTTACAAAGCCTTACACTCATACACTTACAAATTTGTTTTTAGGATTCATCCCAAAATTAGTAATATCCTTTGAAAGTTGATCAAATCATGGAAATGTTCTACAAGGACCAAGACAATTATGTTGAACAAAATCTTTGCACTTTTTCCTGTGTTTTAACAGAATTGTTACATGTATGCCCATGTGTAATTACTTTTATTGATTGTATATAGTTCATTGTGATATTTTCATGCTCTGCTCTGTCTGCAGAAAACCCACCCCCAGCTGAGGCATGTGGACCTGGAGGCCTTATGAGACCAAGGGGAGATAACCTAGTCAAGAGTTATTCAGCAAGAGGACTAGTGCAATCTTAGACATCCCATTCCACAGAGCATCAACCCAGTGCCACATGTTGTACATGGAGCCTGCTTCTGATGCTTATATAATGGCACCACATAGATTCCAGATAGGCACATGCACCTCAAGCCCACCACAGACAGAGCATGGGATTGATTCATAGTGAAGAGGTAGTTTTGGTCATGTTTTTGTCACATGACAAAATACTATCTGTCTTGAATCTTGACACTAAGTTATTTGTTAAATTCTGGAAAACAAAATTCTTGAAGTTAAATATTCTTGTTGCCTGTCCCAGTAAATTCCATGAAGCATATGATAAGCTGTTTGTCTGATGTGTTATTCTGCTTAATGTACAGGGATGTTGTGTTTGACCCTGATTCTATCAACAATGCAAGGCTGAATTAGGTAGTGGAATAAACGGAGTGCACCCAGTGAACTGATGAGAGATACACATTGGTGGAGAAGCTTTCTCTGATGAAATATTTCTGCACAATATTCTTTAACATATCCTGACTTCTTCATTTTTACTTTCTCAACAGCACCGTTTCTCTTGAGAACTCAGTGTTTTAAGATCAACAGTCTTGTGCCAAGGGATAGTTAGGGGAGATAACTCCTGACAAGCAAATACCAACAGACTTCACATGATAATTATTTATATCACGACGGCTGTTCCACAATGTGTAATATTTGCCTATATCATACCAGGACCCTGTTCCACTTAGTGATCTTAGTGTCATGATCACTGTAAGTCTTTGCAATATGGGAGTTCCAATCACCTCAGCGCTAATATTGCTTTGTGGAACATAGCCCAGGGTGCTAAGACTTGATGCCACAATTGTTGTGATGCAAACATGTCTGTGTTAGTCTTGTTCCTGAATTTATTTCCTTTCTGGATTCACAAGGTGACGGAGAAAAGAAAGAACACAGCAATATGCTTGTGTTGTGTCATCCATGTATATACATCATGTTATATCATGGTACAATCCCTGAACCCAGCTTGGCTGTGTTTTGTAACATCACCAGCTCTATTGCTATTATTGATTACTTCTCCCACATGTTGTTGCTTTGTGGTTGAAGTCATGCCAATGCGACATTAAATCAAAATGTCTCTCTCACATGATTTGTAATTTCACTGAATGGCTGCTTTTAGTATGGTTAAGTCTGAACAAAGCTATGGTAGTGAATAGGATGAATGATCACTGCATCAGTGAGGATGGTGCTGCATGTGTAGATTGGAATATGTGGAGGTCAGTTGCAAGATGTGTCAGTCACAGCTTATTAGATTTAAAGAAAAACAGTTAGGCCAGACCAAGTTTATTTCTTTTTTTTACGGATTTTTGTCCTCAGAAAACCTAAAGACAGGAGGAAAAAAATAAAATAAATTAATCACCAGTCAAAGTAATATTCCTTCTCAGTGCTAACAGTATTTTACTTTCGGCAATTTATGAAGTGTATATGGGTAAAATACAATCTAAAAAACATTTTCTTGTAAGTTTACATATTTGGCCAATAAAAACATTAGGATTTTATTTTTTGAGTGGAGAAAAATAATTTTTATTTTTTTTCTTATTTTGAAAAAAATACGAACAGCGGATCCGTAAAACAAGAAATAAAATTGGTTTGGCCTTACTGTTTAATACAAGGCCATCAGGCTATTCGTTATTTTCTTCTCGTGTCAGTCATTGAATTATATGTAGGTATTTGTAAAAGTCATACATAATATTTTCAGTCAAATCATACTTTGTTTTGATCATTATTATTGATTATTATGGGTTCTTACCCTGTGTGCAATTTCTCCCTCTACACAAGTTCACACACAGGTTTACACATTCAGATTGGGGTTGCCAATGTACTTTCATGTGTCTGTGTGTGCTGTGGGTTTATGATGTATGAGCAGATTTAGGGGTATCGGGTACAGGGATATGGGGTGTGGAGATGCAGGCGGGCCTGTACGTATGTGTATATTCAACACACACTCGACTACAGGAGTAGCAGATGGCTGCTGTTGCTGGTAGTCCAGACTGATGCCAGTCTACTGCTTCAGCCTGCTGTTCAGTGGACAGGATGGGGTCATCAGCTCTTGGGCTTCTGAGTTCTCACACATGACCAGTGTTGTGATAGTACAGCTAGCAAATCGTGATTTGAGGTTCTATAAGAATGTGTATGGAAGACGTGTCAGATTTAGAGTTTTACTGGTGCCTTTCAGGAGTTACAGATTATATGTCCCGAGTGATCACATTATATGAACATTGTGTGTAAATAGGGATATCACTGGACTGTAATTACAAGCTTGGGTTCTTAATTCATGCAATTGTCCATTGTTATTTTAAGAAAGTCATGAAACAACTGAAATGTCTACAAAGAAACAGCACCTAAGTCAACCTCTTGTTCTGAGGGCATAATTTTATCGATATGTGATAAGATGGACAATAGACTGATATATCCATATGTGTATAACATATTGCTTCAAGTGACCAATCAGCTTTGACCATGTTCAGAACTGTAAAGTCACATAGTAGGTTATAAGCTGTAATTATTTTAAGTTGAACATACATGTACCAGTCTTTTGACCAGATGCTTGTCCAGTAATTGTGATGCCTTTCTTTCACTTCTCTGTTGAAGACAGACATTGATGAGAGTAATTTGACCAGTGAAATTGGAAAACTAGTTGAGTTGGTTCACCCAGCTCCAGAGGTGGGGAGGATCAGAGGATTTACAGAATTCCCTTGTTTGTGGTGGTTATTTTTTAAATGATATCAAAACATTTCAAGACAATTGTAAATTGTGATAAAGGACCAGTAGGGGTCCACACAAGACATTTATAATCAAATGCATGGGCAGTCCAGACGTTGGCTTTCAGATAATACACATATAATGTTTATCAATCCTAACTACCCATTTGCAGTGAAAGGAGGGTTGTAGAACTATTACTGCGATTGAAGTGGTGTTAATCAGGGTTGTTGTAACTCGGCAAAGCGGTTGCTGTTTGTTGTCATGGTATGTGAAGTGAAGAGATTCCAGTGTTTTAGTTGTTGCTGGGTTACATGACAGTGTTGCATTTCCATGATTGGCCTTGTTATGGAACCACACCTATGGTGACATACATGCAACAATGCCTCATATCTATAGGGATGGCGGTTAGCATGTCATTCCAGTGAATGTAGGCCAGGGGGTTGATGTCAACATTCTACTTATTCCAAGAATGTTTGGTCACAGTTATCCGGTTAAGTTATATATCCATTCTGTTACGGTTAGTTGTTTGTTTGTTTAGTGCCAAACTCAGCAATATTTAAGCAATATCACATTGTCCTGCTAATAGTCAAGTCTGAGCAGGAAACCCAGTGGTTGGCGTTATGAGCACCAATCTACACAACTGAGATATGACCTGCATCAACCAGCACAGTGAGCCTTACCACCCAATCCTATGACACACCCCCTACAGCAAGCATGTGTTGCTGAACATCAGTTCAAGCCCTGATATTTGTGAGGCATTCCATTATGATATCTACCTAGGACAGTTCATAAATTACACCCATGTTTGGGAAGTGATGTTGCCATTTCCTCTCCATCACCTTGTCAGTAACACAATTTGTCTGGTAAATGAGTACATGTAGTTGGTTTGGACAGCTGTGTCATTTGAATCAGACTCAAAACAAAACCATAGCAGTGAATGACTCTCAGGAGTTTATCATAGTGCAGATGTTACACCCTGAATGACAGGAGATACACAATGACCAACAGCACCAAGCTGCAGATTTTGGTGAAAAAGCTGCCATCCCAGTGGTAAATACCACTATGAAGAAGCCACAGTACTGTTAGAGTTGTAGTGTCTTGCTGAAGAATGTAGCGCATTGTGGTGTTTAATAATGTGCCCTGTTCAGTGCTATTGGAGTGTTTTGTTTCTTTACCAGACCAATTAACTGACAGATTTTCTAATTTAATATGAGTGACTTAATAATTTCAAGAACTCAAGAATTCAGACTTGTTTTTATTTTCAGACTATTTCTTGATGATCATGTAGTTGTTTTATTTTTCTCAGAAAGAGCTTGGAATTTATGTTAGCACAGCATTTGTTTCAGTTGATTCAGTTGATGGTATAATTTAAAATTGACTTCATGACTTGTTGCAAACTATGGGTAAGTTTCAGTTTGATGTTATCCATGAATGTGTATAAACTGTTGATTTGGTCTGATCGTTATATGCTAGAAAGTACAGTGAAGTCTGTATGCCATGACTTTTACCAGAGGAGTTCAGAAACAAACTTTCTCTTTCTACCAAACCACAAATGCATGTAGTTGTTTCTTAATTTTCTATTTTTTTCAATTGATCTTGGTCCTGTATTAAAGTTTCAAGTTTACTGATCGAATTATTTATTTACTTTTTGTGAGAACACTGTTAATGAGGACATGTATTAATAGTCTTCGTGTGACATGTGCTATGGAGTTTTAGCTTGTTACCTTGTCATATATCCATGTTGAAAGTCAGCAAACTGAAATACATAAAGGAAAGTAATACACCCTGGCTTTGTGTTGTCATTCCACCAGTACGTCAGGGTGGTTGGGTCACCTAGTGCTGTAGGTTTCCACTTATCTCACCGAGCCCGGGTTCGATTAGCCATGTGGGTAGAATGAGTGAACCCTGTTCTTGCCTCCAGCACGTTACACCATGATATTGTGGTTAATACTAGCATAAAGTCATACTGCTTCACTAAGTACACTACATTATTTGCATCTGAAAGTATGTTGCAAACTGGTGCATTCTAGCTTTCACGATAAGAAATATAATTCAATTTATTTATATATCATTTTTTGCCACAATGTGTTAGAATGTCATGATATAATCAGGTTCAAAATGCTGGTATACGTTTTTGGAGAACAACCAATCCGAGATTAATTATTATGAAATATGAGCTCACAAAACACCCTACCCTTTACCTTCTCGCATTTATGAGCATTTATTCATCTGGACATGTATGTAGATTAATATCTTCAAAAGTGACATGCATAGATATCGTAGAATTGTCTTTAGATTGGGGAAAGGCATATCTTATAAACTGCAGCCTTCCAGAGTGATGGCCAAAACACATGATGCAGGATGTGAATGGAACATTAGGGAAGAGTGTTTAATCACAGCTATATCAGAATACAATGAAAATAATTTATTCCGAGCCCACAACAGTGGCTGATAGCACCAGCAACCATCTATACCATAAGAAACACAGTCTGCCTGTGTCACACATTACAACCACTTGATCCTCGGTCAACTCCTTAACTGGAACAAGCATGAACAAATGAGGACCTACTGTTATCAGGGTGAGTGAGTGAGTTTAGTTTTATGCCGCACTCAGCAATATTCCAGCTATATGGCAGCGGTCTGTAAATAATCGAGTCTGGACCAGATAATCCAGTGATCAACGGCATGAGCATCGATCTGCACAATTGGGAACTGATGACGTGTCAACCAAGTCAGCGAGCCTGACCACCCAATCCCGTTAGTCGCCTCTTATGACAAGCATGGGTTACTGAAGATCAATATTCTACTTCACAGGTCTACTGTTACCAGGAATCTCTGGATGAGACAGGTAGGAGCTGAGGACCCGGGGTACTATTTATACAGAAACCTGCTGGATCGTGAAAGGTCGACGTCTCCCTACCAAATTGGTTTTCTATCAATCTGAAGACTTACAGGAATGTGACTGACTTCTAGGACTCAGAAACAGGAACATTAGTGTTTTTTAGTGGAGAGAGACTGACTGAGATTGGTTTTAGCAATATTCCAGCAATATAACGGCTGGGGACACCAGAAATGGGTTCACACATTGTGCCCATGTGGGGAATCAAACCCGGGTCTTCGGCGTGACGAGCGAACGCTTTAACCGCTAGGCTACCCAACCGCCCCAGCATGGAGAGACACAGTAGCATTGTAACAACAAGCCTTCATTACAAGTACAGTCCTTGCCACTTGAAGCAAAATCACGAAGTATCACAATGATCATCAGTCATTGTAACCATATGATGAAAACTTAAAGTGTTGAATCATTGATCACCAGCCAAAAGGATGTTTTTTTAAAAGTGCACAGTTGATAATGTGGTTATTGGTTTACAAACCAAAGTTGAGTATATTCTCCAAGCATCTGTCTTAAAGAAAATCCTAGGTAATTGAACATGGCAAGAACTTTATTATATATGTTTATTTAACCTACCAACTATTATATTATTAAAAAATAAAAAAGGACAATACTTTGAATTCATTAATTAAAGTTGACATCACTAAATAATTGGATGATGTTACCACCACAAACATTTAACTAAAGTTGAGTAAAAACATCTGATATGTTCTTGCATGTTTATCATCCTGGGAATATTTCACATGTTTCAGTTCTCAAGTCACCTGTTTTCAACGCAATACTGGAGCAGTGGGGTCGCCTTGTGGTTAAAGCATTCGCTCATCACGCGAAGAACAGGGTTCGATACCCCACATGGGTACAATGTGTGAAGCCCATTTCTTTTGTCCCTGCCATGATATTGCTGGAATATTGCTAAAAGCGGCGTAAAACTAAACTCACTCAACGCAATACTGTAATCCATTTAGTGTCAAGACGTGAAACTAGTGCTCTTGAGCAGTGTCAGATGATACAGTAGCTGGACAATTGTTACAACTAATAAGATATACAGTCACGCATTATCTGACTTAAAATACAGCTTCAAGGAAGCTAGCTACCGAAGTCTGGCCACCACTACCAACAAGTGGCATGAAAGGAATCTACAAGAGGTCACAGACATCAGGAAATTCCAAACAGCCATGAAGCGTGCCCAGAGAACATATCTGTCTAGCGCCAGAAGTTATTGATTGAATTATCTGTGCCATTATCTGCACCACTGGCCATCCAGCTGTCCTTCATCACCATCAGTGTTATGACCACCTTTCCAATCAGTGTTATGATCTATCAGTACTAATCTGTTCCTATTGACAGGGGGCGGGGGGTAGCCTAGTGGTTAAAGCGTTGGCTCGTCACGTCGAAGACCCGGGTTCGAATCCCTACATGGGTACAATGTGTGAAGCCCATTTCTGGTGTCCCCTGCCGTGATATTGCTGGAATATTGCTAAAAGCCGGCGTAAAACCAAACTCAGTCAGTCAGTCAGTCCTATTGACAGTCAGCACCAATACACTACTTGCATCTGTTAAGTGTCCACCATTGTTATCTTATTACTTTTGTTTCTTTGTATGTTATTTTTTTTTTTATTATAGGATATTTGTATAGCTGGTATTTTTTTTCCCTCGATCATTGGATGTCAATCTCAACGGCATTGTTTATTATCAATCTCAACTCCCCGGGGATCATACAACTCTAGCAGCCACAAGGCACACGAGGAAGTTATTGCGGCTTCTCATCCCTTACGAGGTACCCATTCACAGCAGGGTGGACAGGGACACATAGTCACAGTACTTTGTCCAAGTTTACTGCATGTTGCTGTACCGCAACCAGGTGTTTGCACGCGTATTCATGTGGCCACCATCTGGTCATATACCAACAGATTCGTGGGTTCTTTTAAAGTACACAGGGTTGTGTACTGTACACTAGGGGTTGTGACAACACTGAAAGAGTCTGCACACAAAGTTGACTCAAGGTTTTACACCTGGTCACAGGTGGGTTCGATCCCGACACCTCAACCTGCGGCTGGATCACTAGCCTGGGCGCTTTAGCCAGCTTTCCCACCTGGGCCCCGTGTATGTACATATAAGCTCTCTGCTTCCTGGTTTTCTTTAAATGATGAAGTAAGAATAAATTCAAAATATGTGTGTTGTTACAATGAAAAGAAGACATATATAAATTTTCCTGTTATGTTTATCAAATCTAAATGCCATTCAAATGCTTTGAAGACTTGTGTACCCAAGGTCATCTGACATAACACCAGTGATGAGGAAGAGTGACACAGTAATGAGGAAGAAGTGGCTCACTTTAGCTTCCCTCTTGATGCAATAAAAGACTTAATTATTGCATGACTTGCCTGAAATCGATAATTGAAATTGAAAGCTTCCAAAAGATTTGCCATATATGGAATGTAAACACTCGTACATCGAAAACTATTACACAGGGTGTTGTTGGTGTTTGCCAAACTGGTTTCAATCACATGTTGTGCATAGGATGTCGTGAAAGAGCCCAAGGGACATAACTCTATGGGTTTTTAATAATGTTCCGGTAGAGGGCAAAGAGTTAATTTCATGCAATGTTGCATTAATTGTTGAACATTTTAAATTAATATTGTAATCTAAAACACAATTTTGTTTGGAATAAATTATATGGGAGCTTCCCCATAGTTAGTAGTAAATGAGAGAAATGCATTATGTATTTTAGAGAAGTGTGGCGTGACATTGTGCCTTTAAGGATGGCTGACAGTTTACAATGAGCATTAATGAATGGGATAAGCATGTTATAAATATAGGCAATTAAGGGATTCTGAACATATACATGCCATGGCAACAGTGGAATTAGTCCTTGGAATTCAATGTTCATACTGACAAATTAAGGTTGTACCAAACTGGTTATTTTGACAAAGACACTCTAGATGTTGAGTGTGAAATGATTTTTACTATGTAGGTTCTTGTTTCTTTTACTTAAATGTTTTAGATTCAATTACTAGTTTTACATGTATATCTGTGATACTCTAGTTGCTTTACTGTCCTTTGTCGGCAGGTTTTATAAGCTCTATATATATTCTATTTCAATGTCAAGTGTTCTCGTCACGATATGGCTGAAATATTGCCGATGTGACGTTAAATAATAACTCACTCACTCACTCACTTTTACTTAAAAATGGCCTGTGACAACTGCTTCACACATTCGATCTTGACCAAATCTGGAATAAAGATGAAGTGGTGATGAATGATGCTTTAAGATTTTGCCAGATTCCACAAAGGGAAAATATCAATAGTCACAGATTTAAAATCATTGACAACAACACTGAAATAATCTTGAACTGAAGGAAATTTCCATTACTGGTTTACTATGAAATTCTTTAGTTGTTTTTTTTCAACAAGCCATTTTATTCATTAAAGGAAATATTATTTCATTTTGTAATAATTAGTAGTAGTTATAGATCTAAATATCATGCAGGAAGTATTTTAAAATGTTTACAGAAAAAGACCCACATTCACAGACATACCTGATTGTACAGATCCCCTACTTCGCTCATATATTTTGTGCAGAATTTCACCCTCCTGCTAAACATATAAAGGTTTGACAAATTTGTTCACACGTATTCTTGCAGTTCACACCCTGTCTGGTACCATGTCTGAACTTTATACATCCGCTGATTGGCGGAACTGACTTGGTAAAAACAACTGAAAACGTCATCAGAGATCCGAAAATATGTGCGGGGGTGGAGTCAAATGTAACGCCCCGCCCACACATAATTTCGGATTTTTTGCACAACTGACTCATTTAGTTTTCTGATACGTCCTCTCAACTCAGTGTCACAATTGAAATCATCCTGACTAATGTAGGAGAACAGGGTGCGCATCAATAGTAATATTAATTGATTTTTTTTTTAGTTCATTCCCTGATTTGTCTGAACCGCCGTATTTATTATTGTCATGTGACTGTCAAGCTCCTTACAGCAACACAACTCCCAACACCACTTTCGGACATAACATAAACAAGCATGGCCGCCAACACGCGGCGAGAGCTTCCTGTCACTGGTCACAAGCCTTTTGTTTGATGACTGTGTCGGGCTGGTTCTATGCCGTTCCGTTCGGTTTGACGCGGGTGCTCTCAGTGGTGAATGTAATTCAAATACTGGAAATATGTTAAAGGTAAGCTCTTTGTGGAAAATGACCCGTAATGTAAAACTGTACATATGTCAAATTATGGAACCGGCAATGACAAGTTCTGTGGTAATTTATAGGTCTGACGTGAGCAGTTCGATCTGATAAATCACTCATGATTCTCTCCCCGAGAATCCCCACTGATGTGATACAGCAACGTGATATGTGACAGATGGTATACTTGCCCTGCACCGCTCACCAGCTGATGGACTGACCGTTGCTCGGTCAGGCGTTGCTAATTGTGGTAGCGGGAGCGATGGATCTATTTTTATTCAGTTACTTATCAGAATATCTCCAGTGATCACAACTATAACGACTGCTAATTTTGTAATGTATGTATATTTCCAGTTATCTATAACCACCACTTTTCTTTAAGTGTAATATTTATCAAGATCTGGGTTTTCCCATGACCTACAAAACTAAAGGTCCAGAGGACTCCCAATAATTCATTTCAAGAATCCTTACTATGCTTACATCAAATAAGAGGGACCTGTATTAGTGTAAGCAATGAAAAGATGTGGGTTCCTGTAATGTACTATTTCATAATTACTTTAATTAAAGAGCTTTTTTTAGTTCTTAAGATTTTGGTAAAATGATAATTATTGTGCATCCTTCAGGATGCAACGTATTCTGTTTTCATCCATTCTTTGCATTTTGTGCGTGAAGATGCACATTTCTTCATCTTGTAATGCACATCAAATATATAAGTGGTGTCATTAAAAATGTTTGTTGTGTTTATATAGTTCCAGAAGCTTTTGCAACTGGTATCTGAAATTGGAAATAACAGCTGTAACACATATGAGTAACGTTTTAAGTCATCCTGACAGTATTTGTTAACATCCACAAACTATATTCCAGCTCTGAATAAGTGATATTGCATGGTATAAAATTATGTGTGGTGTATGTGTTCAAGAATATTCTTTACAATATATTACCATGATAATATTCATTACGTTTTTACCGTAAAGGTGACAAATAAGTCTGTGTGACACATGTTGCAGCACCAGGTTTAATGGTAATAGAAGTACTCGTGACATCTAAAGCATGTGTACTTTTGATTCAGATACATCTTTGACATCAGTCATGAGTAACAAGGGAGACACCCCAGACAAGGCTGGACCAGGCTCCAGGGCCACCCCAGCAGTTCTACCTGTTGGACAAGATGTCTCCTCACAAGCACCTGCACCTTCATCAGGGTCAACGGATCCTGAGGACGGGTTCTTTCTTGGCCAAGTCAGGGACGAGTCTGTGTTTGGATCTGGACCGATGAGGCAGTTGTCTCAGTTCAGCGGTACTAGTGAAGCTTCAGAAGGTGTTACAAGCATGTCGTCTGGCAAGGATGATGTTTGTGGGCGCAGGTCACCTGCATCTCGACCAACTTCAGAGCTGTCTCAGTTATTCTTTTCGCCACACCAGATTGGTCCATCTGGCGGGTTTGTTCCGGTATCGCCCAGTTCCAGGCAGTCAGCTGTTTCCCAGATGCCCCAGCATAGTGACCGCATAACTCCAGGTGAGTAATGACTTACATGAACGTGTCAAGATCGTTAGGTATGTCTTCAAGAAAATACAACTCTGCATATAGAATGAGAGATTATTGTGTAAATGTATTCGAATTAGTCACTATGGGCATGTACAAACAAATCTGGAAAACAAACTATGAATATGATAAACTAAATAATAAAGATTTCACCTTAACTGACAGGTATTGTTGCAAGTGATACATTCCACAGCTATAGCTCACTTGGTTAGATATTTTGTTGACTTTTCTTTCACTTGGCACATTCAAATTCCAAAGATTTAAGCTAAATATCTTTAGCCCTCTGCACATTTAAATGATTTAATGTTTTGATCCTTCCATAATTTGAAACTGTCTTCTAAAACAAAGGGTTGAAAAATTAGTGTCTATTTTTCAAGCTTAAAATGTTAGTGTTTTCCTCATTGCTTTTTAACCTTTATCAATGTGTGAAGCCCTTTTCTGGTGTACCTGCCATAGTATTGCTGAAATATTGCTAAAAGCAGCGTAAAACTCAACTCACTCACTCACTCTCTCTTAACCTTTCAAGCAAGAACATCCTGAAACCCAGATAATGAAATGATCTCACCTATGGCTGTAGTGGCAGATATCAAGTTGGTGTGTTTCACTGGTTTAGGAACATGGTGGTTCATGTAGACTGTTTCTGTCCTAGTTATTTTTGTCTTAGCCTAGCATTCCCCTGGATTCTACTTCTCTGATCCTGTAACTGTTGCAGTGAGTGGTTCTCCTCGAGGGGATGATTCTGATCTCTACTCCCGGCCCACCTCCATCCATCAGTCTCCTCAGCTTAGCTTGAGGAGCGGCTCTGTTGGGTCCAGCGGCTCCTACAGACTTGGGGGACACTCCAAACTGACACCCAACATCAGCAGGCCACTCGTTCCTCCGGTGTGTCACCAACATCTTCCAGAGAAGCCGTGAGTGATGCACCGACTCCGCCAGCAGATGGCCATCAGCCACTTCTCGTGCAACTGTCCAGCGGAAAACGAGCAGAACTGTCACATGTCTCGGATGAGGAACATAGAAAAAGTATAGCTGATTCAAGGTCATCCCGAGGTCGGGACAAAACTATAAGTGAATCTTTGTCAGCTGTGAAGGAAGATGGAGAAACAAATTATACACCCATGTCCAGAGTTGGATGGACTAGCTTGGACACTGAGGATCATAATGATACATTTTATCATGGCTTGAATCCTATGTATGCAACGGTCACCAGCAATGCCTCCGCCTTCAGTCGAGAGTCTTCAGACATGGCCTACATTCCGAACTTCCCTGGAGGAATCATACACTTCGTGCAGGACGGAGACTCTGTCTTCAACCAGATGGTCAGTATATGCAGCAAGGTTGTCATATGATGCAGAAGCAACAGTAAGGTTGTCATATGATGCAGTAGCAACAGTAAGATTGACATATGATGCAGTAGCAACAGTAAGGTTGTCATGTGATGCAGTAGCAACAGTAAGGTTGTCATATGATGCAGTAGCAACAGTAAGGTTGTCATATGATGCAGTAGCAACAGTAAGGTTGTCATATGATGCAGTAAGCAACAGTAGCAACAAAGGTTGTCATGATGATGCAGTAGATTGTCATATGATGCAGTAAGGTTGTCATATGATGCAGTAGTGACAGTAAGGTTGTCATGTGATGCAGTAGCAACAGTAAGGTTGTCATATGATGCAGTAGCAACAGTAAGGTTGTCATGATGATGCAGTAAAGGTTGCATATGACAGTAAAGGTTGTCATATGATGCAGTAGCAACAGTAAGGTTGTCATAGTGATGCAGTAGTGCAACAGTAAAGGTTGTCATATGATGCAGTAGTGACAGTAAAGGTTGTCATGTGATGCAGTAGTCATATGACAGTAAGGTTGTCATGATGATGCAGTAGCAACAGTAAGGTTGTCATATGATGCAGTAGTGACAGTAAGGTTGTCATATGATGCAGTAGTGACAGTAAGGTTGTCATATGATGCAGTAGTGACAGTAAGGTTGTCATGTGATGCAGTAGCAACAGTAAGGTTGTCATATGATGCAGTAGCAACAGTAAGGTTGTCATATGATGCAGTAGCAACAGTAAGGTTGTCATATGATGCAGTAGCAACAGTAAGGTTGTCATATGATGCAGTAGCAACAGTAAGGTTGTCATATGATGCAGTAGCAACAGACAGTAAGGTTGTCATATGATGCAGTAGCAACAGTAAGTAATGGTTGTCATATGATGCAGTAGCAACAGTAGTGACAGTAAAGGTTGTCATATGATGCAGTAGTGACAGTAAGGTTGTCATATGATGCAGTAGTGACAGTAAGGTTGGTTGTCATATGATGCAGTAGTGATGACAGTAAAGGTTGTCATATGATGCAGTAGCAACAGTAAGGTTGGTTGTCATGTGATGCAGTAGTGCAGTAGCAGTAAGGTTGTCATATGATGCAGTAGTGAGTAAGTCATATGATGCAGTAGTGACAGTAAGGTTGTCATATGATGCAGTAGTGACAGTAAAGGTTGTCATATGATGCAGTAGTGATAGTAAGGTTGTCATGTCATATGATGCAGATGCAGTAGCAACAGTAAGGTTGTTGTCATGATGCAGTAGCAACAGTAAGGTTGTCATATGAGTAAGGTTGTCGCCCATGATGCAGTAGTGACAGTAAAGGTTGTCATATGATGCAGTAGCAACAGTAAGGTTGTCATATGATGCAGTAGCAACAGTAAGGTTGTCATGATGATGCAGTAGCAACAGTATATGATGGTTGTTGTCATGATGCAGTAGCAACAGTAAGGTTGTCATATGATGCAGTAGCAACAGTAAGGTTGTCATATGATGCAGTAGCATGACAGTAAGGTTGTCATATGATGCAGTAGCAACAGTAAGGTTGTCATATGATGCAGTAGCAACAGTAAGGTTGTCATATGATGCAGTAGCAACAGTAAGGTTGTCATATGATGCAGTAGCAAGGTTGTCATGTGAGTAAGGTTGTCATATGATGCAGTAGCAACAGTAAGGTTGTCATATGATGCAGTAGCAACAGTAAGGTTGTCATCATGATGCAGTAGCAACAGTAAGGTTGTCAACAGTAAGGTTGTCATATGATGCAGTAGCAACAGTAAGGTTGTCATATGATGCAGTAGTCAATGAGTAAGGTTGTCATATGATGCAGTAGTGACAGTAAGGTTGTCATATGAGCAGTAGTGTAGTAAGGTTGTCATACAGTAAGGTAGCAAGGTTGTCATATGATGCAGTAGTGACAGTAAGGTTGTCATGATGATGCAGTAGCAACAGTAAGGTTGTCATGATGATGCAGTAGTGACAGTAAGGTTGTCATAGTGATGCAGTAGTGATGCAGACAGTAAGGTTGTCATATGATGCAGTAGTGACAGTAAGGTTGTCATATGATGCAGTAGCAACAGTAAGGTTGTCATATGATGCAGTAGCAACAGTAAGGTTGTCATGTGATGCAGTAGCAACAGTAAGGTTGTCATATGATGCAGTAGCAACAGTAAGGTTATGATGCATATGATGCAGTGATGCAGTAGCAACAGCAACAGCAAGGTTGTCATATGATGCAGTAGTGACAGTAAGGTTGTCATATGATGCAGTAGTGACAGTAAGGTTGTCATATGATGCAGTAGTGACAGTAAGGTTGTCATATGATGCAGTAGTGACAGTAAGGTTGTCATATGATGCAGTAGCAACAGTAAGGTTGTCATATGATGCAGTAGTGACAGTAAGGTTGTCATATGATGCAGTAGTGACAGTAAGGTTGTCATATGATGCAGTAGCAACAGTAAGGTTGTCATATGATGCAGTAGCAACAGTAAGGTTGTCATGTGATGCAGTAGTGACAGTAAGGTTGTCATGTGATGCAGTAGTGACAGTAAGGTCATGTGATGCAGTAGTGACAGCAAGGTTGTCATGTTGATTCTTTGCTTTTGCTGATCTTGCCTTAATTTGTGACAATGTTATGTACATTTGGCCTTTTCATTTTAATTTTTCTACAAATATATTTTTTTAATTCTGTAAAACATTAAATCTTGTACTTAATATTATTACATGTAGTTAATATATGATCGTTTTAGAGATGTTAGGCTTCAGAGATTTGACAGACAGTCACTTATACATGTGACTCTATTTCAGGAGGTTTACATACAAATGACCTTATTTGAGGAAGGTATTGTCCTGAATTCACTTGTACACTTGACCCTATTACAGGAAGTCACTCATACCTGTGACCCCATCTCTGGAGGTTTACATACAAATGACCTTATTTGAGGAAGGTATTGTTCTGAATTCACTTGTGCACTTGACCCTATTACAGGAAGTCACTCATACCTGTGACCCCATCTCTGGAGGTTTACGTACAAATGACCTTATTTCAGGAAGGTATTGTGCAAGTGACAATATGTTCTGAAATCACTTGTACACTTGACCCTATCTCAGGAAGGGCGGTGGGGTAACCGAGTGGTTAAAGCGTTTGCTCATTACGCCGAAGACATGGGTTCGATTCCCTACATGGGTACAATGTGTGAAGCCCATTTTGTGTGTCCCTCGCAGTGATATTGCTGGAATATTGCTAAAAGCGGCATAAAACTAATCTCACTCACTCACTCACCTATCTCAGGAAGTCACTCATACCTTTTATGACTCCATTTCAGGAGGTTGATGTACAAGTGAACCTAGTTCAGGAAGTCACTTATCGTGACTCAGTGACTTTCAGTGGTGCATATCAGTCTATTGTCTGGGTAAATAGTTTCTCAGCAGTTCCTTTTCTCTTCCATAAAATATTACAATTGGAGTTTGAGCATACCTTCAGTCTAGTGAGTCAGGTAGAAGCCTTTCTTGGATTTCAGGATCGTTATTATGTGTGTATACCTCGAGACAGCACGGTTGATGATGTTGCAAACTACATCGCTGGTGGCTGGCGGCGTCGTACACCCAAGATTGTGCTCTCTGTGATCAGCAGTGTGCAGTACTTCAAGGCCTGGGAGAATGAGAGAAGTGTGGACAACTTTAAGAGGGGCCTCATTCAGGTAGGCTGATGGTGTTCAGACTTACAGACGTGTTCAGACATACACAGAGTTGCATCCAGGAGCTCAGAAATATACATACATGGTCACATGGAGCAGTTCAAACATACACATGGCCATATGGGGGAGTTCAGACCTACACATCACATTGAGCAGTTCAAATATACACATGGTCACATGGAGTTCAGCATGGTGGCATTCAGATACACATGGTCACATGGCAGTTCAGACCTACACATTGTCACATTAAGCTGTTCAGACCTGCACATGGCCACATTAAGCAGTTAAGACCTACACATGGTCACATTAAGCAGTTCAGACATACACGTCATATTAAGCTGTTCAGACCTACACATGGTCATGGTGGCTGTTCAGACCAACACATGGTCACATTAAGCAGTTCGGACCTACACATGGTCACTTGAAGCAGTTCAGACCTACACATGGTCTCTTGAAGCAGTTCAAACATACACATGGCCATATGGATTTATTCAGACCTGCACATGGTCACATTGAGCAGTTCAGACATACACATGCCATATTAAGCTGTTCAGACCTACACATGGTCATGGCGTTCAGACCAACACATGGTCACACATTAAGCAGTTCGGACCACACATGGAGTTCAGACATACACATGGTCACATTAAGCAGTTCAGACCTACACATCGTCACATTAAACAGTTCAGACCTACACATGGTCACATGGTGGCATTCAGACCTCACATGTCATATTAAGCAGTTCAGACCTACACATGGTCATGGTGGCATTCAGACCACACATGGTCACATTAAGCAGTTCGGACCTACACATGGAGTTCAGACATACACATGGTCACATTAAAGCAGTTCAGACCTACACACATCGTCACATTAAACAGTTCAGACCTACACACATGGTGGCATTCAGACCTACGTCACATTGAGCATTTCAGACCTACAGTAAGTAGTTCAGACATACACATTGTCACATTAAGCTGTTCAGACCTACACATGTCACATTTCAGACCTACACATTGTCACATTAAGCTGTTCAGACCTACACATGTCACATTAAGCTGTTCAGACCTTTATGGAGTTCAGACCTACACATGTCACATTAAGCTGTTCAGACCTACACATGTCACATTAAGCTGTTTAGACCTACACATGGATTTCAGACCTACACATGTGACATGGTGGAGTTCAGACCTATACATGGTCACATTAAACAGTTCAGACATACACATGGTCACTTAAAACAGTTCAGACCTACACATGCTCACATTAAACAGTTCAGATCTACACATGGACACATGAAGCATCTTTGCTTAAAAGAGAGATAGTGACGTTCAATAATAACTCACTCACGCACTCACTAAAAGAGAGATAACAACGTTACATGTCTCCAACATATTTCAGGCGGCAAACTTGACAGAGATGTGGATTCTGACCGATGGCCTTGACCGCGGTGTGGCGAAGATGATCGGCAATGCTGTGTACCAGGAGATGGCACGTAGGAAGTGCCAGGAAATGGATACTCAGGTGGTCAAGAACGTGTACATGGTGGAGAAGGTGACCAAACTGACTGTACTGGGTATTGTCAACAAGGAACACATCGCATACTCTGAAGCCTTGAGTGGAGAGGTACGTTTGGACTATCTTTGTAGTGGACCTTCTCCATGGTTTAGTGATTAGAGCGTCCGCCCGGAGAGCGGAAGGTCGTGGGTTTGATCCCCGGACGTGTTTCCAAAAGACTCTAAAATATGGTACTTGTTGGTTCCTGCCTGGCGCTTGGCATTAATGAGTACAACAAGAACTGGTCGGCTTGGAGTCAGTATAATGTGTCTGAGTGGGGTATTCATGCTTAACTGCAGCATGGTATCTCAGTGATCTAGCACTATAAAACCAACTTAAGTCTGGGCTAGTACAAGCAGCCACACTTAAACACATGAGCCAAATATTCGTAAGTGTGACGTTAAACCACATTTCACCTCACCTTACCTCACCTCACCTCACCTCACCTCACCTATCTTTGTAGCAGGAGTGAGAAATGTTTATGTTCTGGCTGATAGTTCTCATTACAAATCTTTGTGAGTTCAAAATTGTACGTATTTCTTCAGCACAAGGACCCACAAGAACTAGAGAATTCCGGCTACAAGCCATCGTCAGGGAAGTACAACCTGAACCCCAACCACACCCACTTCATTCTGGGGGAGGAAGTCACGTCGCAGGAACTCATCAACTTCAGATACAACCTGGAACTGCGCTTCCAGATGCCCGTCGGTCGTCCTCGGCGATATCGTCGGATGCCATCAAGCCAGACCACCCTGTGTAGGTAGACCTGTGTATATAAAGGGGCAGTAAGATCATCTAGATTGGAGAAACTGCTAATCCACTAAACATGTTGGACTGGCTAAAACCACACATACTCATATTGATTACCACCTCTCTGAGAATAACAGAGCAGCGCTGTCTGGAATGTGACTTGTTGAGGAGCATTGTTTTACACAAAGCTGCAGCTAATACACAAGCTGCTACCCAAATCAAACAGAAGATAAGTTATTGCATTACTTGGGATGTTAGAGGTGTCAGCTATGCTAGGATTACTCAAAGCAATAACACTATGTTCCCCGCGGCCACGGCAGCCGCGTTTCACTGAAATGGGGACCAAACGGAATGGACATGAGACAACGTGGGAGGACTGAATGAGCAAACATGACTGCTGTGGATGCCGTGCCAGATTTTTAAACTGTTCCAAAATTTGCCACCGCAGTCACGGTACTAATGAGAAACCATGTAGGCCGTAGTAAAACTGGGGGAACGCAACAAAACATGACAGTACGTAATAAGCCATAACAAAACTTGTAGACGATCCGTAGTGGGACAGGAGGCATGTGTATTTCCCGGTATCTCGCGGTTCTTTCAAGTTTTGTCACGTTCGGCCATGTTTGTTTGTTTTTTTGTCATGGATGTTTCACCCTTGCTGTCCGTTTTGTCCAGGTTCTCACGGAAGGTAGGTTTTTTTTGGTAGCTGATTTGTCCCGTTCTATCATGACTCATCCAGGCGTGTGACAGTTTACAGGGTAGGCAAGATATGGCACGTTGCATTCTTTGGCATTCCCTCTCTGCAGGTCATGCTGGCCTTCTTGATGGCCAAAATCCCACGGTGCATTACATTTTGGGGAAACAGGGCTGCCGTGGCCGCCGGGAACATAGCGTAGCCCTAGCATTAGGTTACTGCTTTACTTACCCCTGGTTTCAGTGACCTGTGAGGTAATAACAGTACTTATCCACAGTTGCAGGGAACAGCGAGGTTGACCTGGTTCAGACCCACATGCCGACTGTAGAAGGGACCACCACTCCTGTGATCGGCCTCCTGATTCAGGGGGGACCACCAGACATTGACCACACCCTTGCCCTCCTCAAGAAAAAGATTCCTGTGATTGTGATGAAAGGGTTTGGTCTGGCAGCTGATCTGATTGCATTTGCTTACCTGGAAATGAAGGAAAGGTGAGTGAGGGTATACCATCTGAACCAGAAGTAGACATTGTAACTGTGTTCTGAAAGATTTTTAGAAAGTCAGAAATAATATATCATTGTGTTATGGGTTTTCAGACGCTTAAGAACATCTGTTGTATTCTCAATTATCACATGAAAAATTGCAAAACACATCACTAAGTTATTAAAGACAACTTTATCATAAACAAAAGCCATCATCCGAGTTCTTACAGTATCTGTGTGACGCTACCCGCCTCGTTATAAATCGAGAAGACCCGACGTCTAAAACAATGTGACGTCTGAAAACTTATTATCTGACGATACTCTTTGTGGTTGAGCATTAATATAAATCGTATAATTATATTATCTGCAGTGAAAGAGGTAAAAGTGATGTACTTATATTTGGTAGTAAAATTCAAGCACTGGCACATGCCTTGAAAGAAAGTAGCTAATTACTTGCTTGTGTGATGACTTCAATCGTTATGTATCCATGGTAACAGATCTGATGATGACCACATCAACATGTACATCAAACCAGAACTGATGAAGAAGGTCAAGGCTGCTTTTCCTAAAGATTTCAAGGATGATGATCTAGCTCGTAATGAGTGTCGAGACAAGATTCTAGAATGTGCAATAATGGCGCATCAGGTTAGTTTGTGAATGTCAAATGTTTGCTCCCCCTCTCCCTCACTCACTGTCTCTATAATCCACTCACTTTGGGTCACTTCATGTCTCCATTCATGTAATGTGTCTGCAGCAGGACCTTCTTGCCTACCTCATTCCTTCCTAGTCCGCTGATCTTTGTATAGCAGAACATTTTCATCCCCTCCCTTAGCCCCTTGTCTGAACCGTGTTACCAGTGTGTTGCAGGACAGTCTCACCTACCTCACCCCTCCCTTAGCCCCCTGTCTGAACCATGTTACCTGTGTGTTGCAGGACAGTCTCACCTACCTGTCCCTCTCCTTCCCCTGACTGAACCATGTTACCTGTGTGTTGGGACAGAGTCACAGTACCTCACCTCCCTCTCCTCTCCCCTGACAGTCTGAACCCTCCCCGTGTTACCTGTGTGTTGCAGGATAGTCTCACCTACCTCCTCCCTCCCTTTCCCTGACTGAACCGTGTTACCTGTGTGTTGCAGGACAGTCTCACCTACCTCCTCCCTCCCTTTCCCCCCTTGACTGAACCTGTGTGTTTACGTGTTACCTGTGTGTTGCAGGACAGTCTCACCTACCTCCTCCCTCCCCCCCCTTTCACCAGACTGAACCATGAACCATGTTACCTGTGTGTTGCAGGACAGTCTCACCTACCCTCACCCTCCCTTTCCCCAGACTGAACCATGTTACCTGTGTGTTGCAGGACAGTCTCACCTACCTCCTCCCTCCCTTTCCCCTGACTGAACCGTGTTACCTGTGTGTTGCAGGACAGTCTCACCTACCTCACCCTCCCTTTCCCCAGACTGAACCGTGTTACCTGTGTGTTGCAGGACAGTCTCACCTACCTCACCCTCCCTTTCCCCAGACTGAACCGTGTTACCTGTGTGTTGCAGGACAGTCTACCTCACCTCCCCTCACCCTACCTGTGTTTGCCACAGACTGAACCGTGTTACCTGTGTGTTGCAGGACAGTCTCACCTACCTCATCCTCCCTTTTCCCCTGACTGAACCGTGTTACCTGTGTGTTGCAGGACAGTCTCACCTACCTCCTCTCCCTCCCTTTCCCCTGACTGAACCGTGTTACCTGTGTGTTGCAGGACAGTCTCACCTACCTCACCCTCCCTTTCCCCCTGACTGAACCGTGTTACCTGTGTGTTGCAGGACAGTCTCTCACCTACCTCCCTCCTGACTGAACCTTCTGTGTGTTGCAGGACAGTCTCACCCACCTCACTCCTACCCTTTCCCCAGACTGAACCATGTTACCTGTGTGTTGCAGGACAGTCTCACCTACCTCACCCTTCCCTTTCCCCTGACTGAACCGTGTTACCTGTGTGTTGCAGGACAGTCTCACCTACCTCACCCTCCCTTTCCCCCCTGACTGAACCGTGTTACCTGTGTGTTGCAGGACAGTCTCACCTACCTCCCCTCCCTTTCCCCTGACTGAACCGTGTTACCTGTGTGTTTGCAGGACAGTCTCACCTACCTCGTTTTCCCAGGACCCCCAGACTGAGACCGTGTTACCTGTTGTTACAGGACATTCTCACCTACCTCACCCTCCCTCTCCCCTGACTGAACCGTGTTACCTGTGTGTTGCAGGACAGTCTCACCTACCTCACCATCCTGGACACCAGCAGCAAGGAGTCGGATCTCACCCACCTGAACAAGTACATCCTGACGGCCCTCTTCAAAGGTTTCAGATCCTGTTCTATCCTTATCCCTCTTTATTACTTAAACTGTGGATTGAATGGCAGCATGATTGTACAACCTTTAAACACCAGCTCAGACTTGGAAACTAGGGATTCAGTGGGAGTGTGATTGTATGATATGTTTATATCCCTCCCCACCACCAAGACCGACACTGGAACCGGGGATTCGAAGGCAGTTTGATTGTTATAATGCTTACACTCCTTCATCTCATTCACACAAACTGGGATTTCAAAGTCAGTTTGATTGTATAATGTGCTTATATCCCCTCAGCTCAGACACGGAAACTGGGGATCCGATGGCGTGAACAGATACAGAGGGACCTTCAACTCACACTGGACTGGAACAGACCAGATCTAGCAAACACTGAAATCTTCAAGAAATATAACTGGATTAATATCAAGGTTTGTAACTCATGTCAGATCTGTCATTGTATCACCATTGTATCATTGTATATAAACATCTCTGTCATACAGGTGATGTTCTGATCTGTCATTGTATCATTGTATCATTGTATATAAACATCTCTGTTACAGGTGATGTCTGATTATACCATTGTATCATTGTATCATTGTATATACTCCATACAGGGGATCTGTCATTGTGGATCATTGGGATTCTACAGGTGATGTTCCGATCTGTCATTGTATCATTGTATATAAACATCTCTGTCATACAGGTGATGTTCCGATCTGTCATTGTATCATTGTATCATTGTATATAAACATCTCTGTCATACAGGTGATGTTCCGATCTTTCAGGTTGTTGCTTTTACCCCAGGGACTTGTTGGGATTCTGGGAGGGAATTTGCAGGTTGTACCAAGATGCAACAGATCATAAAAACACCATAATGATCATGTTAAGTGCTCCTAACATATTCCAGAATCTCCGAAGGATGTGGGCTGATCACAGTGGTATAATAGTGGGCTGATCACAGTGGTATAATAGTTTGCCAATGGTTTGTGGATATTTTCACAGCATCAAACTAGAGTCTAAGATGCCAAACAGTCCATTCAGCAGGCACATAAAAGATATTGAGTTTTCTTATCCAAACTTGACAGTTTATACATATGTTAGAGATCTTAGAACACTGTATATTTACTTTGCATTCTTTGTGTAAAAACTATGTGTGTCAGGGCATGCACCTCAACGTTTCACTGAGCATTGCATGCCTTTAAGGTATTAGCGTCGGAGTAGTCTGATCTAACAGGGAATGTTGTACAAATTGCAGCTCCCCAATGTCACGAAGCAGTGTACTGATGCTCATCAGTACACATCAACAATAAGCAGTGTGTTCCATCGCTGCCTATCTCAATGTCAGGGTTGTTCATTTGTTGCCTGTGGTCACTGTCAAAATGATTGACCTTTATTTAATTGCCTGGTGGATCCTTTTGTCACTTTAATGGAATGGCTCATTTACTAATCAGAAAAATGCAAACACTGGCGGTGTCTTCATTATTTGAACTTGGCCTAACCATTGAGATATTATTTCTGGAGCCATTTGGACAATACCACATTTTGTTCTTGGTGTTACAGGTGGAGGACCATGTGTTTCACCAGGCCCTGATCCGAACAGGGCGTGAGGATTTTGTGGAGCTGTTTTTAAACAAGGGGTTCCGAGTCCATCGCTACCTCCACCACAAGCGTCTACACAACCTGTTTGAGAACGCCCAGGACAAGGAGTTCTTCATCGGAGTCTGTCTGGAGGGTGTGCTTGGGAAGTCTGTGGTAGGTGACATCGGGGTCTGTCTGGAGGGTGTGTCTGGAGGGTGTGCTGGGGAAGTCTGTGGTAGGTGACATCGGGGTCTGTCTGGACGGTGTGCTGGGGAAGTCTGTGGTAGGTGACATCGGGGTCTGTCTGGAGGGTGTGCTGGGGAAGTCTGTGGTGGGTGACATCGGGGTCTGTCTGGAGGGTGTGCTGGGGAAGTCTGTGGTAGGTGACATTGGGGTCTGGACGGGGTCTGAGGAGCCTTGGGTGTGGTGTGCTGGGGAAGTCTGGAAGTGTAGGTGACATTGGGGTCTGTCTGGAGGGTGTGCTGGGGAAGTCTGTGGTAGGTGACATTGGGGTCTGTCTGGAGGGTGTGCTGGGGAAGTCTGTGGTAGGTGACATCGGGTCTGGTCTGGGTGTGCTGGGGAAGTCTGTGGTAGGTGACATTGGGGTCTGTCTGGGAGGTGTGCTGGGGAAGTCTGTGGTGGGTGACATTGGGGACTGGAGGGTCTGTCTGTGTGCTGGGGGAAGGTGTGCTGGGGAAGTCTGTGGTGGGTGACATCGGGTCTGTCTGGATTGGGGTCTGTCTGGAGGGTGTGCTGGGGAAGTCTGTGGTAGGGTGACATTGGGGGTCTGTCTGGAGGGTCTGTCTGGAGGGTGTGCTGGGGAAGTCTGTGGTGGGTGACATTGGGGGTCTGGAGGACATTAATGGAGGGTGTGCTGGGGAAGTCTGTGGTGGGTGACATTGGGGTCTGTCTGGAGGGTGTGCTGGGGGAAGTCTGTGGAAGGTGACATTGGGGTCTGTCTGGAGGGTGTGCTGGGGAAGTCTGTGGGGGTGACTCGGGATTGGGGTGTGTCTGGAGGGTGTGCTGGGGAAGTCTGTGGTAGGTGACATTGGGGGGTCTGTCTGTCTGGAGGGTGTGCTGGGGAAGTCTGTGGTGGGTGACATTGGGGTCTGTCTGGAGCGGTGTGCTGGGGAAGTCTGTGGTGGGTGACATTGGGGTCTGTCTGGAGGGTGTGCTGGGGAAGTCTGTGGTAGGTGACATTGGGGTCTGTCTGGAGGGTGTGCTGGGAAGTCTGTGGTGGGTGACATTGGGGTAGGGAGGGTTGGGGTCTGTCTGGAGGGTGTGCTGGGGAAGTCTGTGGTGGGTGACATTGGGGTCTGGAGGGTCTGGAGGGTGTGCTGGGGAAGTCTGTGGTGGGTGACATTGGGTCTGTCTGGTGCTGGGGAAGTCTGTGGTGGGTGACATTGGGGTCTGTCTGGAGGGTGTGCTGGGGAAGTCTGTGGTGGGTGACATCGGGTCTGTCTGGGTCTGGGTGTGCTGGGGGAAGTCTGTGGTGGGTGACATCTGAGGGTCTGTCTGGAGGGTGTGCTGGGGAAGTCTGTGGTAGGTGACATCTGGGGGTCTGTCTGGAGGGTGTGTGTGCATTGGGGAAGTCTGTGGTAGGTGACATCGGGGTCTGTCTGGAGAGGTCTGTCTGGAGGGTGTGCTGGGGAAGTCTGGTGGGTGACATTGGGGGTCTGGAGGGTCTGTCTGGGGTGTGCTGGTAAAGTCTGTGCTGGTGACAAGGGTTCTGTCTGGGGTCTGTCTGGGGAAGTCTGTCTGGACATTGGGGTCTGTCTGGAGGGGTGCTGGGGAAGTCTGTGGTGGGGGGGTGAAATCTGGGGGTCTGGGGGTCTGTCTGGAGGGTGTGCTGGGGAAGTCTTGTAGGGTGTCTGTGGGAAGGTGGGTGGGGGTCTGTCTGGGCTGAAGTCTGTGGTGGGGTCTGGGGTCTGGGGTCTGTCTGGAGGGTGTGCTGGGGAAGTCTGTGGTGGGTGACATTGGGGGTCTGGGGGTCTGTCTGGAGGGTGTGCTGGGGAAGTCTGTGGTGGGTGACATTGGGGGTCTGGGGGTCTGTCTGGAGGGTGTGCTGGGGAAGTCTGTGGTGGGTGACATTGGGGGTCTGGGGGTCTGTCTGGAGGGTGTGCTGGGGAAGTCTGTGGTAGGTGACATTGGGGTCTGTCTGGAGGGTCTGTCTGGAGGGTGTGCTGGGGAAGTCTGTGGTGGGTGACATTCAGGGGTCTGTCTGGGGGTCTGTCTGGAGGGTGTGCTGGGGAAGTCTGTGGTGGGTGACATTGGGGGTCTCTGGACCTGGGGAGGTGTGCTGGGGAAGTCTGTGGTGGGTGACATTGGGGTCTGTCTGGAGGGTCTGTCTGGAGGGTGTGCTGGGGAAGTCTGTGGTGGGTGACAGGGTGTGCTGGGAAGTCTGTGGTGGGTTACATTTGGGGTCTGGGGGTCTGGAGGGTGTGCTGGGGAAGTCTGTGGTAGGTGAAATTGGGGGTCTGGGGGTCTGTCTGGAGGGTGTGCTGGGGAAGTCTGGTGGTAGGTGACATTGGGGTCTGTCTGGGAGTCGTGGGGGTGTGCTGGGAAGTCTGTGGTAGGTGACATTGGGGTCTGTCTGGGGGTCTGTCTGGAGGGTGTGACATGGGGAAGTCTGTGGTGGGTGACATTCAGGGCTTCTCTGTGGTGTGTGTTCACATTTGGGGTCTGGGGGTCTGTCTGGAGGGTATATGGGGAAGTCTGAATTGTGCATTTTCTGATTCCAAGGAACATGGACCAGACCTACAATTGTCAACAATATCTGAGTAGATTCTGTCATTACGCATCTGCTCTGTCTTCTGTTAACATCTCAAATGTCTTGTTTTTGCTCGTTATGGCATTTGTTAAGACCTGTCTACAGATGATGTTTTCAGTTTATAGATTATTTCTTTGATGAGTTCACAAAACATTCCAAACAGGGGTGAGGGGCAGTGATGAATGCACTTGAATAGTCATACTGTTGTAGCAGTGACCATGTCAGGATTACCTGGGGATTTGGGGTTAGAGTGGGTCCAGGTCACCTTTGTTTCCCGTACAGGTGTCTACACAGACTGTGGTCAGACTGTGAGGCTGTGTTGATCTGGCAGCGTTGGTTGTTGGTCATAATATCAACCACTGGATTAACCTGGTAACTGCCCTACACAACAAATATCCTCCTCAAACTATTGACATGATCCATGTCTAGAGTGATACTGACAGTCTACAGCAGTCCATTTGTTCACCTCAGTATCTGTTTGATGCATGCTTGTTATCACTAATGATCAGCTGATTGATCAGTCGTCACCACTGATTGATCACTGTAGTCGTCACCAATGCTTGTAATCACTGTTTAATGATCAGCTGATTGATCAGTCATCACCAATACTTGTAATCACTGTTTAATGATCAGCTGATTGATCATACATCACCAATACTTGTAATCACTGTTTAATGATCAGCTGATTGATCAGTCATGACCAATACTTGTAATCACTGTTTAATGATCAGCTGATTGATCAGTCATCACCAATACTTGTAATCACTGTTTAATGATCAGCTGATTGATCAGTCATGACCAATACCACAAATGACGAGGTTAAAGACATTTCAAGTTCATAACATCCAGTATTGAGTATCAGTGATGACCTCCAATTGCAGGACCCGTACGCTCCCCTGGATCGTGAGTTTGTTGAGACCGAGAGCTGTGACCTGAACCGGCTGATATACCGCTGCACCCGGCTGACCAAGCTGGTCAACCCCTACACCCTGTCCATGAACGCCCTCGGGTCATACATCACAGACAAGGATGTGGCTGAGAGACGGGTAAGGTGGCACCGACTTGGAAACATTGAGATGGGGTTTCATGCATGGACTTGACATGAATTATGATCATATTTGTTTGTCCACATTTCGTTTTACAAGAGAGACGGGTAAAGTGTCACCAAGATGGAATATAAACATTTATCTTACCTCACACATAAATGTCGCTTTCTGATTGGCTGAGTGCTCTTCTATTATTTTCAATGTACCCTGCTTACAAGCGAGGTACATTTCAATGTACCCCGCTGTCAATGGCAACTCATTTGGTACTTCGTGGTAGTAATTCTTTATCTCGAATAACATTGAATCACGTATGATGTACGGAAATTACCGATGTTTTGCGAATGCAAATCGATGGAAGGGAGATAACTCTAAATCTGTTTATCTTGTCAGCAAAATCTAGCGATGGCTACAAAAAGATTTGTACCCGTGCTTCAAACAATTCAAAATTAACATTAAGGTGTTCGGTAAGATAAATACGTTGTTCACTGGTCCCTTGTTTAACAAGAAATCACTTTTATATATGTGGAAAAGGGGAGATAAGAAAAAACTTTAACTAAGAAAACTGTACAGCAATCATCATGTGGCCTTGCAGGCTGTCAACACACTGGTCTTCTGGGCGGCGTTGACCAACAGGCCGAAGCTGGCCAAGGTGTTCTGGCGCAAGACGGAGGACCCCATGGCGATGGCGCTCATCATCAGCATGCTGATGCACAACCTGGCCAAGCGATGGTGCAAGGAGCCAGACATCCGCTACAGCGTCAGAAAAACGGCAATGTAAGTACACCTACCTCCTCCTCCATACCTGGACACCTGGTGTTGAATGGTCAGAACAGTCATTAAATATTCTGGGGTGGGTGGTAGGGTATGTTTGTTCATTGGCCTTAAAAGTCATTCTGGGTGGGGTTTGTTTGTTTGAGACAGAATATTGTTTTTGTCACTTTTTAAGGTCCTTGTTGTTTGGAAGCAGCCATAACAATTATGGGGGTAACTGAATTATTTTCTTCAAGTTCAAACTTGAGAAAGTACAAAGGTAAGCCCCTAGAAAGATCTTGAATATAGAAGACCAAGTGTCAACTAAGCTGCAGGAACTTGTAAAAATGTGTCTCCATGGTTACCGAGACTTCGGAGTATTAAGTTAACCAGCCCTTGTGGAGATGTCCTCTGTGTGTCATGGTTCCTAATGGCACACATACAAGGACAGAGTCTTCTAACCAGGTGAAGGAACCACTGAGCTTCGCTCTTTGCACAGACGTCCTATCCACCAGATCATCTAGGCAGCAGGGTGACAGAACCACCAAACTTTATTCTTTTTCAGAAGAAGTCCTCCTTGGGGTACATATAAGCATTAAAATGTCCATCTTAAATCCTACGACAGTTGTAACTATATTTTTCAATAAAATATTTACAAAACAAAAAACTCGTTTTGTCTTGTGAGACCACCTCTACAGGGCCCCACCGGACCCCCTACAGCCAAGGGCAGGTAACTCTGCCGCTGTCTACCTCGTGACCTCACTTTTCATACTGTCGTTCTGTTGAATTGACATGCTTGGTGTTCGCTTTCGAGTTTGCTCTCCTACCGATCACGATGAGTGTAAAGAGTCTCAATCTGTATGTATGGTTCCTTTCTTTCGCTTGCGGGTGTTAGATGGACTTCATATGTTGATATTCTGATTCATCTTTTGTTGTAACTTTGCCGTGGGTTCTCTCTTTTCCAGCCTTGTGGCAGGCAAAATGGCAGACCGCTGATCGGTGTTTCCTTGCTACATGTTCTTTGTAGCTTGTAGTAGGAGTTCATATATTATGTTTGCATATTATATGGTAGGCTTGCCTAAATTCTCTCTCTCTTTTCATCAAATTTGTAGTAAGTTGTTGTTGAGTAATTTTGATAGAGTGTTCGTTTCGTATCACCAACTTTACTCACTAGTGTGTACCAAGGTGCGGCTAGCCTTTTTCTGCTTTGCATTGTATGTTTATAGTATTTAAATGGCTGTAGCTTGTAGCATTTAAATATCGCCTGTCCATTTTATTTATTGCTATTTACTTGTGTTTATATGTTTGCTGCTTCACAGTTCCTGCTAGTAACACTAGCGGTTTGCTGCTTCACAGTTCCTGCTAGTAACACTAGCAGGTTCTGTTGTTGCAGTTAAGCCCTGCAATGCGTTGTGCCGCACACTACCGCCACAGGATGGTCATAAGGTGTGCCTCGGTGTTTAGCGAGGGGCGGCTCCACGACGCTCAAGGATGTTCATAATAAAGCCCTTCGCGTCAATATTCCTGTTACGTTATGTTGTGTTATGTTACACATATACATTTCATACGTTTACACACAGCGTGGCTCATAGTGGCGAGGTTTTGCCTGGGTTTCTGCGCCTCACACACATTCTTTCAGGCACGCAGATTTTATGTTTTCACTAATCTGCTTCAGGCGGGGATAGATAATTTTGCTGAAAGGTTTCTAAGGAAATGCCTTTATCGTTCCCCGCCTACTCCTCCCCACAAACAATGTTGCTACACTACTGGTTGATTTCTTACTTATAGCAGCAGCGGAGATCGTCAGTGCACGCTCTCAGCCGTGGTTTCCAGACTCCGAGAGACTGGTACCCGGTCTGCAGGTAGAGATTACACCGGCGCATCATTTGGAGGAGGTCGGACCAGAGTTTCGGCTCGGAAGGGTCTGACCTCCCAGGGACGATCGGACTTGAGTGTCCCCAGAGCGAAGCTCTGAACCTGGGGTATAGCACCGACCGGGCTTCGGCCCGGTACAGCCAAATCCCTGGCACCCGGTAGCTCAGGTTTCGGCCTGATGTCTATCCACGCCCAGGCCAGGAGGCTGTTGAGGTGACGGAGCTACCGAGCTGCCGATCACCTCGACACTCCAAAGGTCTACCCGTGTACACCAGGGAACCCTGCACTGCCAGACTACACCCAGGTGTCGGGACCAGGGGTTCAGACTCTCTCTGAACCTGGGAGCATCGACCGGGCCGGCACCGCGAGCAGATCCTGGGCTGGTAGCTCAGGTCTCGGCCTGAGAGGTCTATCGATGCCCAGACCATGAGGCTGTTGAGTGTGAGCGGAGCTACGGGGCTGCCGCTCTCCTCGGCGCTCGAGGTCTACCCGTGTACACCAGGGGAACCCTGCATTGCCAGGCTACTCCCACGTGTCTGGGACCAGGGGTCAGACTAGCACCGACCTGGGCTTTGGCCCGATGCACGGAGCAGATCCCCGGCGCTGTAAGCTCAGGTCTCGGCCTGATGTCTATCAATGCGAGGCCAAGAGGCTGTTGAGTGTGACGGAGCTACCGATCACCTCGGCGCGACCCGAGGTCTACCCGTGTACACCAGGGGAACACTGCATTATCAGGCTACTCCCAGGTGTTTTGGGATCAGGGGGTCGAACTCGAACTGCTGACCCGAGCATTTATATATATATTTATATATATATGTAGGTATTTATATAGGCGCTATAGGCTATGTTTGACTATATGATCAGCTTTTGGAGACAGTACTGGGGTAACCCTGATTTATCAGGATACTCCTACATGTCGGGATAGGGTTCGATCTAGAACCGCCAAGCTTCGCGGATGCTCTGAACGCCGTGAGTAGCACCGACTCAGGCTTCGCACTGATAGAGCTTATGATTACCCGCCCCAGTAGTTCAGGTCTCGCCTGATGTCTGCTCGATGCCTTGACCAAGAAGCTATTGGATACTTTGAACCTTACAATGATTAGGTTCGATCCCTGAGGCAAGTGTGAGATAGAATCGGGCTGTGTTGCATCAGGTGTTGTCCACGTCGAATACCCGAACGGTTGGAGTTGGCCTCCTGGAGGGAAGCCTGCTTCCAGCAAGGCATCGGGACAAGGCCTCATACTCTATCGTCAGTCTGCCGTTCTTTCCCCTTAACAGCTCAATGCTGTATGCTCCATTCGGTGCATCTCTCAGCTCTGCTGAGGGGCTGGTGGAAAGGGGAAAAGCCGCCAGTGCTTTCAACCAAATGATGAGTGCGGTTATGGGCCTATGTGCCAGCCGGCGGTCTGTTTTCTGGAGGAATACAGAAGTCTGTCAAACTTCTTGTTATTCCCTCAGGTGCCCAGGCACCGGCAAACGTTATGCTGCCGACTGCAGGGGTTTACTGCATTCTGCCACAAACCCTGGTAGAAGTGTGACACACGCCAGTGTCGGCTTCCTGGGAGACGGCGAAAATACTCCGTGCCAAGATCCAGTCTCTGCTGGGCAAGGCAACCATCAAGGTGGTGTCCAATGGTCAGGAAAATGTGGGGTTTGACTCCATTTATTTCCTTGTTGCCATTGAGAACGGAATGTTCAGACCCATTCTCATCTGAGAGCTGAACAAGTTAATAGAGGTACTGTCCTTCAAGATGGAGACACCGCGCTCAAGACGGGGGATTGGCGCACGTCAATCGAACTCGAGGTCGCGATACCTCATTGTTCCAATGCACCCTGATTTCAAGATTTACCTTCGCCGGTTCTTCTTCAACAGGACGTGCTACCAGTTTCATGTGCTCCCCTTAGGCTACATTACGGCGCCAAGGGTGTTCACCAAATTGAGGTTTATTACAGCCCAGATAGCCAGATCGCAGCTAGTGCGGTGTTGTCACCCGATACCTAGGTGACTGGCTCATCGGGTTTTAGAATAACAGTTGAGTCTGGGAACCTCACGATCAGTGTTGGTCACTCTTTTCGAAAATGGGCGAATTGTCATTTTCATGCAGTCAGATGGACAGATGTCAGAAGCGTCTCTCGAGGGGCTCCCCTGGAACACCGTCGCTCTCTCAGTCCAGCCAGATACATCCCTCCGGGTTGGGGCGATGTTCTGGGCTTGACCTCGCGGTCTCTTGACGACGAAGTCACAACCTGCACATTAATGTGCTGGAATTGACAGTAGTCAGGTTGGTGTTCGATCCCGCACGCCGGGATTCGAATTACTTTTTCGCCAGACATTCTCACTCTGAACGGGGCACCACACCCGAATCCTCGGATTCTCTGGGTGGCTTGGCCTCTGTCGGGTCTAACCCCCAGACTCGCGGAATTCCTGCAGCCGTTGCAGACACAATTCTGGCTTCGAGGCGGGATTCGACACCCGTTCAGTGTGTTGATAGGTGGGGAGCTGGTGTGCAGATAGGGGGATTTCATAATCCCTATTCTGCGGATTTAGTTCGGATATTGGAGTTACTATAACCTCGTTTTGGTTGAGAGCCTTATGACCTCCACCATTCCCGGGTACTCCATGGCTATTTCCACGTTTCACACCTCGTTCGATGGTGCTCTGCCTAGGCAGCATCCTCTCGCACATCGCGTCGTAGCTTGCATGAACAGGGTTCGACCGGCCTCGGGCGGCAACCCAGCCCACCTACAAATGGTCAATTATTCTCAACTGGCTGTCTGGCCCTGACTTTTCAAGTATATCGTCTCTTCACTTCACTTGTTGACGTGGAAGACGGCTTAACTTGTGGTGGTGAGCTCTGGTAGAAGGGTCGGGTACATCCATGCGATACCCACTAACCCGACACTGACAGTATTTTATACTGATCATGTCAGTATTTGCCTCCCGGATACCTACCACTCTCGATATTGCTTTCCACGTAACTGCTCATATCGAACTTCCATCCCTTACCCAACCTTCCACACCAGGGACCGATCTTTCGATTGCTCACCCGTTGGAGTGACTATAACGAATGAACGAAAGGGATCCGTACGGGTACCCATGTGTTCTGTTTGGTGGCTGGAAGACTGGGGAGTCTGCTTGCAAGCGGACTTAATCTCGTTGGCTTGTTTCCATAATTGTTCGGTTACAATGCTAAGGTTTACCTTCCCCTGGGGGGTTGAAGGCAGACTGGGTAGGGCAGATGCCGCTTTGTTGGCAATACACAGTGGCACTGCTCAATGAAGAGATTGGTTCTGTCACTCTTTGGAGCCGGCAGAAAGCCTTTATTCGCCATTACCGACTTGACACGCATTCTGAGGATCGTGCTCGGTTCGGTCTTTCGGTTCTCTCCAGTGGAGAGTGTCCTGCCACCCTGATCAAGTTAGTAACTGGTCTTTGGTATCAGTTCTGTGTTCAATGTTGATATGGTTCATATCACTACATCGTATAAGCCTTACCACCCTTTCGGGTTGAGTCGGGTTTGGGTGTACATACGTCCCTTACGTCCTCTTCACTTAAAGGCAAGAGAGGGCGGGACGGTTTTGAAAGCTATAACCAGTCATATGCTATTAACCCATCTTGCGACGGAATTGGGTTCGAACCCCCTACGGGTCACTGTTTGGTATGCCTCTCTTCGAGCCTCATGTCACGTGACCAGGTTAGTGTAATAGTGAGCCAACACATGTTCGGCTACACTTTTCGCTATTCAGGGGATTTTTGTATGCTAACAGTTTTTTCCCTCTTCACGAGACTTCAGTATTTGGGAGTTTGTGTTAATCAGCACTTTGGGTGATGGTGGTTACACTTACCCTCCTCACGCCGAGAGCGTTTGGTGGGGGTGTCTTATCCTGCTTTTCACTACTCGTACAATGCATGGTGTTTGTACTCGTTCGATATCCTCAGAAAGTTTTTAGCGAGGCTAATAAGTTCTCTGGGTTTTATCGAGGTCCCGGCAAGCCCTCTTCCAAACAGGAGGTGCATTCGAGCATTAGTTTGCAGTACTTATTAGCTCGACTCCTGGGTTATTAGGCGTTTTTTACGCTTTCCCTACCCTTATACCTATCGCCACGCTTCTCTGGTTCGGGCTATTAAGGTTGGGAGTTGTCTGTGCATGTCCCCATACATTCCTTTCCATTGTAATGGTTTGGGGTGGGGGTTTTATGTCATAATTGATTTGAGCCAATTGACGTTTAAGCTTGGGTTCTCTATTTCCCGCCCTAGCCATGCCCCCGCCTGATTGACATCAGCGGTCAGGTGGCTTTCGGTTAGTGTGTTTTTTCTATTTCTGTATCAGTTGTAGATTTCACTCCACCACGGGTTTAGTTGTTGCCAGACAGAATGCCACTCCCATCTCAAATATCTTTGGTAGTCTGTCTTCTGCTTTATATGTACCCCAAGGAGGACTTCTTCTGAAAAGAATTTTACAAACCTGTAAAGGTTATAAATTCTTTGAAGAAAGTCCTCTTTTGGGTAATCTGGCCACCCGCCTCCCCTCATTCTGTCTGATACGTTCAGCATGAAAAGTGAGGTACCAGGTAGACGGTGAGAGTTACCTGCTCTTGGCTGTAGGGGGTCCGGTGGGGCCCTGTAGAGGTGGTCTCACAAGACAAAACGAGTTTTTTGTTTTGTAAATATTTTATTGAAAAATATAGTTACAACTGTCGTAGGATTTAAGATGGACATTTTAATGCTTATATGTACCCCAAGGAGGACTTTCTTCAAAGAATTCATAACCTCTACAGGTTTGTATAAATTTTGCATGCCTACATTCTATCCACTGATTGAACCTTCAATAAATTTGGGATACACTCTACAAATAGGGCTGCACCTGTCATGTTTGGGCTATGAGCATTTTTTGGATGTGTTGCAGTGAGTTTGGCAAAATGGCCGTCAGCCTGCTGGACCTCTGCTACAAGGACTCCACTAACCAGGCCTTCCAGGCACTCAACAAGACGCTACAGGACTTCAACGACAAGACGGTGGTGGAGATTGCCAGGATGGGTAAAAACAAGTGGTTCATCGCCCATCCTTGTTGCCAGAAGTGGCTTTCACGCCGCTGGTATGGGAACCTGCACATCCGAGAGTTGGACTGGGGACAGCCCACACTACCAGACTGGCTCAAGGTAACGTGGCAGACGGCAGCTAACTGCCTGGTAACATTCATGATACTTAGGAGGGAAATGATTCTGGAGACATTTAATTGGCAGTTCCCTGCCCTTTAACCCTTTGTTTTCAACAATATAACAAACATTGGTTAAACATCTATAAGTTTTCACTTTAAACCTTCAACGCTTTTCACAACTTGTACATATAACTGGTGTAACAGTGTTCACTCTGAAGGCCCAGAAGGATTCTCTTGGACAGTATTCCAGCCACTTTCTGGAGCTACTTCCAGGCAGGGGATAAGCAAAGTACAGTGTACCTGTTAGGTTAAATATGAAATACCTGTATCATTAGGAAGATGTATTTTAGTTTATCTTCTTCACCCTGAAACCACAGGTAGCGAAGCAATGATAGGTGTTTAGTGGCCTATATCTGTGTTATAATCATCTTAAGGTCAAGTAGTATACAATCCATGTCTGGCAACTCTTGTGAGAGACAGCTTGAGGTGGAGATTCTAGAAACCTGATTTTTAACCCAGTGTCAGCTTGTTTCCATATATGGAGATGGTGTTGTTCCAGATCTACCTGTGCGTGTTCCTCGTCCTCCCCATGTATGTGTGGGTCTACTTCGAACCGGACGAGAAAGGAAAACAGAAGTTTGAAACAGGTACAATCCTTTGATTATTTCCCATATGATAGTTGATAAAATGTTTGATATAACAAGTTTCATGTGATTGGCTGTCTGATGCAGTTCTTACATAAGCAGTGTAAGGCTATTTTTTAATGTTTCCATACATTATCCAAAGATATCTATTTAATTCGTTTAAAAATGTTTGATGATTGGGTAGATATGTGACAGAATTCTTATTTGTTCCATCAGATGCTGTTGTTACAAAAGGTGTGATTGGTTGAATGTGGGATTGGTGAAACGATTGTTTTGATTGGTTCAGTGTGATAATGTAACAAATATTTTGATTAATTTGGTTTGATGTTGTTCTGGTTTGTTAAATGTGATGATCATGCCACACATATTTCGTGTTTGGCGAGATGATTTGATCATTTCAGTGTGATGATGTCAGATGCATTCTGATTGATTCTGGTATATTGTCACAAACATTTTAATTGGTCGAATGTGTTGCTGCAGATGACGATGAAGAGGAGGTGGAGATTGCTGAGGACACTATGCTGTTGCGGCCGACGTCCATGGACTTGGAGACCAAGAGGGTGGGTTGAGAAACATGTCAGTGACAGTTACAAATACGGCTGAGATGACTCTGAGACAGTGCATCACAATTCCACAGCCTTTATAGCAAGTGTACTGACCCAAGGCCTCATTGAACAGTACCACTTGAGGGATCATTCTTGGATACATAACGTTTGTGACGCCATTCAGGATACAAGATTAGGATGTATGAAGTGTTGAAGTCAGGAGCAACAGTTGTAGTGGGTATAGGAGTCTAGGTACAGGAGTCAAGGTCAGGGTCACAGGAGTCTAGGTACAGGAGTCAAGGTCAGGGTCACAGGAGTCTAGGTACAGGAGTCAAGGTCCAGCATCACAGGGGTCAGGGTCATAGGAGTCTAGGTCACAGGAGTCAAGGTCAGGGGTCACAGGAGTCTAGGTCACAGGAGTCAGGGTCATAGGAGTCCTGGGTCACAAGAGTCAAAGGTCAGGGGTCACAGGAGTCAAGGTCAGGGTCACAGGTGTCTAGGTACAGGAGTCAAGGTCAGCGTCACAGGGGTCAGGGTCATAGGAGTCTAGGTCACAGGAGTCAAGGTCAGGGTCACAGGAGTCTAGGTCACAGGAGTCAAGGTCAGGGTCACAGGAGTCTAGGTCACAAGAGTCAAGGTCAGGGTCACAGGAGTCTAGGTCACAGGAGTCAAGGTCAGGGTCATAGGAGTCTAGGTCACAAGAGTCAAGGTCAGGGTCACAGGAGTCAAGGTCAGGGTCACAGGTGTCTAGGTACAGGAGTCAAGGTCAAGGTCACAGGGGTCAGGGTCATAGGAGTCTAGGTCACAGGAGTCAAGGTCAGGGTCACAGGAGTCTAGGTACAGGAGTCAAGGTCAGGGTCATAGGAGTCTAGGTCACAAGAGTCAAGGTCAGGGTCACAGGAGTCCTCTAAGAAGCATGATAAATGCAGTGTGCAAACAGAATACATTGTGATGATGGTTGCATGTTGTTTTCAGAAAAAGTCTGTTGTGAGACAGAAGCTACACAGCCTGATCGCTCGGGGGAACATGGGGATAAAGCTGCCACTATGGAAACAGATCTTCTATCTGTGGAGTGCTCCCATCACTAAGTTCTGGATCAACCAGGTTAGTACCACCAAAGTCGACATCCACTGATAGTTGCAGAGTTGCCTTCATTAGCTTTTAAGGTTCTTCTGATGTGAGTTGAGTTGAGCTCAGATTGTTCATCTGTCCTTTGAATCAGCTTTTTGCATTTACCCAATGGGGAAACCGTTGATCAGTATTCCTACATATGTGCTTCACCTGAGTAGTAAGTTACATCTAGGACCACCTGAGGGGATTCAGTTTAGTTCAGTTTTCTATACACCCACCCATACACCTCCCTTTCATCCATGCACTCGTTCATCCGCCCATCCATCCATCCATCCAACAAATCATCTACCCCCTCATCAACTCCACCAGCCAGCCACCCACTCTGTCTATCATCCACCCATCCATCCATCCATCCAACGAATCATCTACCCCCCCATCAACTCCACCAGCCAGCCACCCACTCTCTCGTTCATCCGCCCACCCATCCTGTTGCTCACTCATCCATCCGTCCTAGTTACACACCCACCCACATATCCATCATCTCTCCACCACATCCACGCCCTAATTCTGCCGCTCACTCATCCATCCATTGTAGTCACACCCGCCCACATATCCACCCATACTCTCACACTTCCATCCATCCATGGTGAGACACACCGCCCACATATCCACCCATACTCTCACACTTCCATCCATCCATGGTAGACACACCCGCCCACATATCCACCCATACTCTCACACTTCCATCCATCCATGGTAGACACACCCCCGCCAGCCCCCCACATATCCACCCATACTGACCTACACACTTCCATCCATCCATGGTAGACACACCCGCCCACCCATATCCACCCATACTCTCACACTTCCATCCATCCACCCACCTATGCAGTGACCTACTCAGGCACCCATCCAGCCACCCACTCACAGTGTCAGTGTTCTGTTCCAGCTGTTCTATGTGTTCTTCCTGGTGCTGTTCAGTGTGGCTGTGTTGTGGCCCTCCTGTGGGAACGTCTACCTCAACAGCGTTGTCTTCGTCTGGACCGTCATCATCTGGGCAGAACTTGTCAGAGCTACTCTCGTCAAGAAAGTGGTCAGTTCTCTTTGAAACTTCATGTCAGGATTTGATTGTAGACATTCAATGTGAGTCAGTTACACTTGATTTGGCTATAAGAATCAGTTCATTACATAGATTCACAAACGAGCATGATGTTCACAATGTCTTTGTACTCCATAGGTATTCCAGGCCTAGATTTTCGAAGTTCTTTTAGAGCTAAGGTAGTCGTAAGTTAATGTTAATGTATGGCACTTACAACCATCTTAACACTAGGAGAGCTTCAAAAATCTAGGTCCAGGTTACCACTAGTGTCCAGCGATCTGGTCCCAAGTTACTCGGACTAGTCGGATAAAGAGTTGTCATGTTCCTATAGTGGCTAGTCAGATGTACATTTACACAGAGACAAGTTGGATATATGCTAAGCAGCAAAAGAAACGTCAGTTTGGAATTTTCCTTTGCAGAAACGGATAACTGTAAACTCATTTAATGTTTTGATTGTATATATTTTTTCTTATCCTGACTCATGTTTATTTGCTTGTCTTCTTCTTCTGGCGCGAACCCTAGTGGAACACTTGTATCTCCTAATTGAAGCTCCCTTCAATAAAAATCACTCATTAGTACTCACCCTGAGTTATCTCCCTTTCCGTAAGGCGGGAAGGAGGGGCCACCCAAGCCCATGTGCCTCACTCTCCTTCTTAAGCCCAGTGAGCTGGGCGTGAGAGCACCTGTGTCTCCCAACACATATATCCTTTATTTAAATCTAGTTTAGTTCCTCTTATAATGTTAGTATAGAGGTAGTGCTAGTATATTTATTCAATTTGCATTGATTATTAATTGTGTTTCTGCTGTTTATTCACGCTTTGCATTGATTGTTCAGTAGGCTACATTAATGAAAATTTGCACAGATTATAAACCACGTTACTCTGATACCGATCCTCATTTAAAATGCCCTAGTTGCATTACTCCATGTTCCTTTGATTCTCGTTTGTAAATTGTGTAGCAATTTACCTATCTCTCTGCCTTTGACAATATTTATGTTCCGTTTACAGACGGAAGGCAGATAAATCTCGTAAACAGATTTCAAACATGGCTAAAAGATCGCGAAATTAATGTTTTTATGTCAACTGTTGACTGAGGACTCGTCACCCGACTGGTGGCATGCCCTGAGTTTCCCTCGAGGAGGATAAGCGTGCGGACGCGAGTCCGCTATGTCCAAGAAGCGACCTGCATCTCAAGAGCTGCCATCGTCTCAGTCCAAGACGAGGAAACCAGCCATATCATCTCAGACTTCATGCACTCTAAGATCTACACCATCATATAAAGGGAAGTCAACTAAATGTAATAAATTTGCCTCTGATATCTTACCAGTTACAGAATTAGCATTATATGATGATGATATGCCTATTATCATTCCAGAAGTTCGGCGTCACAAGAAACGGCCCGCTTCTGCGACTGTCACCTCAGCGCAGGACGGAACACACAACCGAGATGCAGACGCTATCACCAATACATTTATCTGAGGGTCCTGGCCACCTCTGCAGAGAGACATCCCTCATCAACGCAGAACGCCCCAGATGACTTGATCAACCACATTATGAGAGAATGATGGAAGACCGCCACGGCCCCAAAGCCCACCCCATACTAAGTCATACAGGGCCCCAGAGCTCCGCCTTCTTTGACTTCAAGCCAGTAGGGCCCCCTGAGCCCATAGACGGCAGCCTCGCGACCTCCCTGCCCGGAGTGAGCTCTTTGCATAAGGTATCCCAGGCAGCGCCCGGGAAGGAGCTAGAGTCTGACCCTTTTGCAAGAGGCTTCAAGGGGAGAAGGAGTGCTTCGCCTAGCACGCACCTTGTCATGTGTACGGGGCGCTCGCAAAGCAAGCACTCATATGTCGGAGCCTTGCACTGACTCCAGACATTCGCGCAAGACAAGGCTAAGTGGTTCTACAACGCTTACAAGACGCTCGCGCAGCAGCCCTCAACGCGTTCGAGAAGCCTAGAGCGCCGGGCGGCCATCACCGCTCGCAGAGCCCACAGTCTCCAGCGAAGGATGTCTTCCAAGATCTGCATACACTAGCTACTCGCCAGTCCGTTCTCCTCAGTCCTCACATAGATCTTCTTACAGATCGAGGTCTCCGACATACTTGACCATACGATCAGAGGAAGACGATGGTATCATTTTCTCAGAGGCTGAGATAAGGTATTGATGGTAAATGAATTACAACTGGCCTCTCCCTCCAAGAACGCAGGATACAGCCCAAACTTACCTGATGAAAGATGATGACGTAGATCATATCACCATACCTCCTGTGGATCCTATCGCAGCCGTTCTCCTGCTAAACTGATACAACTTTCTCCAAATCTACTAAATCCCATCTTCCTCACTTACCCATCTTCAATGCCAAGCATTTTTATGACATAATATGGAGCCTTTTTCAAGACTCGGGAGATTGATGAAAACTTCAAGATTATCAGTGATTCCAAGTCCAGAAGTTATAGGATTGACGATCGCAAGATGGCTCCAGTTAGATACCATTGCCAGAAGAATGTTCTTCGGACTTAATAGATCTAGGACTATTAAGCGAAACTCTCATCACCAAGTTCAAGAACTCTAACGGATGAGGGAGGACAGGATGATCTATTCAGCTCTACTTATGCAGAAGAAAGATCAACAATTCCTTACAGACCATCTTTCAGCTCTTACTGAAACTACTACCATGGCACGCCGGCAAGGATTACTAGCCTCATGCTCTTGAATAATCAATTCACAGAGCCCCTGTACACAGCTCCATGGTCTTCACCTTTACTGTTGGTGGCAACATTAACAAGGTCTCCAAGGAAGTATCTAAAGATTCTAGAGAAGTACTCATGATTAGATCTATGGATACGCTAGCCAACGCCTTCAAACATTCAGCACAGAGGTACTCGGTAAGGCTAAATTCTCAGGGCTGCTAGAGAGCACGGATAAGAAATTAGCGCCCGCTAATAATCCTAAGGATTCTTTTCGCCGCCTCTACAACAAGTTCAGAGGAGGATCAGCTAGAGGCAGATCATCCAGAGGTGCCCGTGGATTTAAACGATGAAAGTCAGGTTCGAATCCACTGGAGTCTTCCACCCCCAGTCAGCCCCAGTACAACCATCTCAAGTGGGTGGACGACTACAACTTCACTGGGAAAACTGGGAAATACTTCAAGACCCCGTGATGTATCCAACATCCTTCGACACGGATATCGCCTACAACTCTCAAGGCCAAGCCACCGCTCATAACAGTCAACGCTCATCTGGCATTACTACCATGTTAAGAGAAACAGTACAGTCTCTACTAAACAAACAGGCCTTAGAAGCCCTCGCATCAGCAAAACATCATACCAGGTTTCTACATTCCCAGTCTTCCTAGTGCCGTAAAAAGAATCCAAAGAGAAGCATCGCTCCATTTTACAACATGAGCACATTCAACAGAGAATTTCTATGCAAACCACCAGCCGCTTCGCAGATGATACATTTGCATTCAACTTCCTGCCATCTAATTAATCCACTAGATTACATGGTAAGTATAGATCTGCAGGACGATAATTCACATTCCATTCATCCCAGTTCAAGGAAATATCTGAGATTCATGCTAGACGGGCATACACTCACCAATGGAAAGTACTTCCCTTCGAATCACTTCGCCCCATGGATATTCACAAGAATAACCAGTGTTTATGGTCCTTATATCTACATCGGCCAAGGCTCATGGAGTGCATTTTACCTAGACGACGACGGCATACAGGTGGGATCCACATCCACAGCGCCTCAGACTACAGCTGGAATTTCTATAATCAAGCTACTAACGCAGTTAGGGCTGGTTAGTAAATCTACTCTCAAGTCGGACCTAGAGCCCACGCAAGATCTGCAGTAGCTCTAGGTATATGATTCCTATAGCTCAGAACCGTATGATAGTCCCGGAGGACAGATGGATCAAGATACAAATAACTGATCCTCTCAAGTCTACTCGCTACTCACTCACGACAGTGGCAGAGTCTACTGGGACTACTTTCACATCGGCTCAAGACTTGACACTCAGAGGCAGGTCTCCAATTTCATGCACCATTACAAGTCCCTCATCAATGCCCATCTCGAGTGGACTCTCTACCGCTCAGTCTACCAGATTACGCCAAACCACATCTACCTGGTGGACCAAGAGATTGAATGTCTGGCGCAGGGCGCCTCCTTACTAGAGCCGGAATCGAAACACATCTTTACGGATGCGCCACTAAAAGGTTGGGGAACCCACCTTTCCGCAGGATACAGCCAGGCCTATGGAGCATTCAAGAGAGCTTTTATGTCACATAAATCTGCTAGAGATGCAAGCAGCCATAAACGCTATAGATCACTGGAGCAACTCTATTACAGAACGCTTCAGTTAATGATTCATACAGACAACTCCACAGTGGCGCTTCTATGTGAACAAACAAGGGTCAACAAGATCACTGAATCTACTCTCACTGATGTTTCAAACTGTTCGACTAGCTCGACAGTCTAAACATATCGACAAAGCCTGCCACATTCCAGGAGCAAAGAAATGTTAGCAGACACTCTATCTCGCCACACCAAACCATCGTACGATAGAATGGATGCTCCACTACAGATATTCAATCAGATAATCATGGAAATAGGATCTCCTCTGATAGATCTATTTGCCACCGGGATTCAACAATCAACTGACAACCTTCGTGATCGCCAGTGCCAGACCCACTAGCATGGGCAACGGACGATTTCAAGCATATCGTGGAGGGACTAAACGCCAGACGCTTTCCCCCGCCTCGCGCTGATCCCACAAGTCTGCTAAAAATCAGTCAAACTAAGAGCCTCGATCTCATTTTGGTCTCTCACTTTACTGGCCAGCTTAGAACGCGGGTTTCCAGGACCTCATACTTAAGAATCGATAACCAGTACTTCAGCTCCCACTGCTCTCCAATCTACTGATACATCCGCACACCAAACAAGTGCACAAAACACCAGAAGCATTCACTTCACGCAGGATTGTATCAAGGC